CTCCTCTACACCGTAGTGAAGCATCAGCACCCAAGCCTGCGCCTGCTTTCCGGGAACCAAACTACGAGCGACCGCAACCACCACGACTGCTCACTCAACCCACTCCTCAACTCACACATCACCACTCTATGCCTCAGTCTGCACCTACAAGCGTTCCACAGCGGTCACTTCCTCCTTTCCACTCGCTTGCCGAGCCAACACTCCCGGTGCCGCAGCCTTCGAGTGCAACGGCTAGCCCAGCTGCGCGACAGCTCCCGTCGCCTTACGTACTATCTTCGGTGCCGTCAGAAGCTCGGAGTGCACCCGTCTCACCCAGGGACAGGATGTCCCTGCGAAACATCATGTAGATGTCTATCATGTTTCACGTTGTCCAACATACCCCTTCTTGTCTATACCTCGCACGTTTCAAACTACTTATTTCTATTAATGGCCGATATTTAACGATCGACACTTTGCTTGTTACAAAGTTCTTCAACCTTGTCGTTTGTTTTGTATGGAACTAAAAAGGGACACATTGTATACGACTCTCAGGATACCCCATGTAGCATCTCTGTTCGCGTGCAACGGTTGGGAGGCTCATGATTCTCTTCTTATCTCAGCGTGTCTTAGTCATGTAGCATCGCGCAAGTCGAAATCCGACACACTACGGCGTTTTCCCATTCGGCCTTTGAGGTGGCCTTGCTGTACACTGCGACAATTTCGTCGCTGGTAATAATACCCAGCAGTGCGGTAGCACTTGCACGCGTCCTATAGCGATGCCCGTCATATCAACCAATACTACGATAAATCAATACCTTCAAGCAATCTCCTTGCATCACAAGACCAGCTAGTGACACCGAGTACCAAGTTCACATGTCCTAACGACTGTCAACCAAAACAAGGTGTTCCCACCTCGAATATCGATCGACAAACACTAAGTTCCAGGTTTCTAAGTGCTTCAGGGCGAGAGCTCACCGCTCCAATGACACCTCGACCGCTTGTGGTATCCACCGCATGACAGATACTCACAAACGTCTGAGGTACCCACTACAACGATTTCTCCATCCACACCTCAACGTACGCATGGACGATCTCGCCACAATCACCGATCAGTCCACGCAGTCGTACCCGTCGCAACATCTGCAGTGTCGCCTATACCATCTCCTCATTGGATTGGGCCCGCCCGGCTGACGGACAATACCTTTTCTCTAAAATGATTGATTGGCCGCTCCTTTTCCGTACACTGCCACCAATAGTGGCCGAGGTGGGGCTCTGGACCGCTGAGCAGGATTCTGTCACCGTGATTCCTGCGACATTGAGAAGTGCCGAAGCATATCTTAAAGTATACTCCAGGGAGTCCCTGGAATGGTCAGAAAGCAAGTCGTGACGGAGTCAATAGTAACGCAAGACCTACCTACACCGCACCAAGGTAGCGACTGTGGAAATTACGAACTGTCCACGCACCTCCTGTTTGTACGCACAGGTACACGATCTTTACTCCAACGAACTTCACGAATCATTACCTCCTGTTCCGTCCGGTGCGGCAAACCCGCTCTCGTTTTCGTTCAACCGCGCATCCGAGCAAATCGCATCTTCGCAATCACACGATTCAACGTCCCTGGCGCGATCGTTCAACCGTCCACATCAACGTTCCACTCAACCAAGTCCACTACAGCAAGGGGTCGGCGACTAGGAGGCCACTATCACTACTACCTGCCACTGCCAGTAAGAAAACGACACACTGGGACCTCGATCATGCGGCTACTAGTGGCTTTACCGCTTACGGGAATTAGACTTTGATCTTCGTCCTAGCGCGCGACGGCTCGCGAGATTTGCGGCTAGCGCATATCGCCATGTCCACAAACGTGTTGGAAGCGTTGAGAAGACACACGTATTTTGTGCATATGGCATAGTTCACAGTCTGGTACCCTAATGTGGACAATTACACACTAGCCGATAGCGCCCATGAGAACTTTGGTACTGGGCCCACGCTATCAAGAGGATGTCGCCGTCCATTCCCATGGTCTACCGCCCTTCCCTGGTGCTAAAGAATACGCCACCGCGGAGCCATTCATCGAAGGTCGCCGTCCTGAACATAATGTATTTCAGTTCCCAGTCCCTCGGGTCACGATTTCTTCCAAGTCTTCAGCCCGCCACAATACAACTTCATCGGTACGAGGGACGGCGGTATTGTGGGACATCAGAGTTGCATCTATCGGAGGGCGAGTAGACCAGTGCACATCGCCATTTACTGTTGAATGTTGAAGGGTACGGATCCGGCGATCCGGCGCATCTCGGTCCCGTGGCGTTGTTCGTTTCTTCTGCAAGTAACATCATACGACTATTACATCGAGGCCTTTGACATGCGTGCCAATATCGTACTCCTTTCGATCTGCACAGGCATCATAACGTCTTCCTTTAGTGTAGATCTCGCCGGACCTTCTCCGCATCATGTGGCTCGTGGCGAGGCTATGGACCGGTCGAACTCATGACATGTGCATGCAGCTTCAATGGTGAAACCTTTCTATCCAGTCCAGGATTGCATGTCCAGCTGTGAGGTAGTAGTTATGCACGAAACACGTCGACTTCACACAACTGCACTACAGATGTAGGGGTATGCAGGACTGTCAGACGGGTGTCAGACCAAGACCCTCACACCCAGACTTTGAGAACCTTGGCACACTCGGTAACTTACTGGTGCCTTCGGTGAAACGCGCATGGGGCGGTTGCGTCAACAGTCGTGTGGAGACTGTGTCTTCAAGCGAAACTTCGTTTGTTTGTGCATACGCGATGAAGACGTTAGATGTCAAACAACTGTGGATATGTCCCCCGGACGTGCGGGCGTACGTACTGCAACGTCTGGAGCCGTTGTTTCTGCTTTTGCCGATACTGGGGCGTGTTACGGCTTCGGCGATTGCCAGCGAAGGTGCTAACAGTGCGGAGTTACTGCCGCCTTGAGTGTGGTGTACACACCTCCCAAATAGAACAATCTTTGTGCTGCAAGAGGCTCCTCGCTATGTTGAATAAGGAGTTCATAGACATATTCGTCGTAACTCTGTAGAGAATTAGTTTGCCCCTCCATGCCGAAAGCGAAAGCACATCTGCCATATCAGCGACTTGCATTCAATTCCTCCCAACACTGCCATCGTACGAGCCTTCTCTTCATTCATTTCGCTTTAGAACGCGAAAATTATCGGGGTTACAGCTCCGGCTCTCTCGGCTCTACCGTGGGCGACGTTGACTCGATCGTTTGTAGCTAGCGGACCTCTTACCTCAATAGCAACGTTGCACCCGTAGCCAGGAGATATCCCGCGAAAAAAACGGGTCGTAAACGCGGTCCAGCAAAACCTCCTGCAGCAGTCATTTTTCTCCGTTAACTGTAGTCGTGGCACTCCGCGCTGTAAGCGGCAGTCAGCATGTCCATGCGTGCGCCGCATACCTGCGTCGTCCCCAAGGCCGCACGCAAGCTTTTCGCAACCTTCCATGCGCTCTCAATGCATTGTCTAGCAGCTCTCCCGCTGCTGACCCGCAACTTACCCAACCAGCAAACTCCTTGATAATAGTTTTCCAATGTCGATCAAGGTCGTACAAAACGGCGAGACACGAGCTCTCGCTTACGGACTGTAGGTAGCGAGTTGCCAGCAACGCGGGCTCGGTATTGCGCAAGGCCAGTAATAACGGCTTTATTAAGAGTACGTGCGAGGCCTGTACCCAACGTTCCTTTGAATCCTCGGGACCAATATGCGCGACTCCTGGATTATATCATGGGTAAATGGTGACACCCCACACGCTCCATGCGTTCCACATACATTCCGGTATTTAATCAAGATGCAAGCCATCGGACCTCTTGCTAGAAACGTCGCTGTACAAATTACAGACATGGTGTTTGAACGGTGAGTTTGGTGATGCAAATCGTCATCATTGGCCATTCGCGCTTTAACCGGAACGGGAGTGGTGGGAAATCTAGTCCCGTACCACGTGATGCCGTTCCTCCGTCGCGCATTCCAGCCCTGTAGATCGCCAACGATATCATGCTATCCATCATCAACACCTGCATCTGCATCTAGGAATATCTTACCTTGCATGCAGTTTCTAAACATATCTTATCGCGTTCCCCTGCTTCCTCCTGTCGTCTAACCCCTTCCGTTGCGCGTGAGGTCGGTGCCACGTTTTCGCGGTTGCTCATGTTTGGGACCAGCAGCGGAAATGTCGGCTAACGGGTTGTATAACCCGGATCAGAGTGCTGTGGACACGCGTTGGACAGAGCCCTGGAGCGAGGCGTTTAGAGTAAGTGTCAGCTGCCTGTGCTACGTAGAGTGTTCAGTGAGCGGTGTGCTCAGTGTTTGGTCGCACAGGGTCAATGCGCTGTCGTTGTGGAGGTACACAACCTTGGAGAAAGCTTCGCTGACGGGTGGTAGGCACAACGAGATATTGGACTTCGTGTACCGATCGATTTCCATACTGTGCCGGCCGTATCGCTGGCACAAGCGTGCTTCGCCCAGAACCAGTACGAACATAATGCTTTCCAAAAATGCTTCTCAAACTTGTTAGCTGTCGGCGTCCGGAAATTCACAGTCGACACGTATTGGGATCCGCTGCGTTCAGTATGGAGTTTATGTCCAGTTGAATTACCTCAGTCGAATGAAGACACCTCAGCTGAAGGGCATCTGCCTGTGGCGACTGGGCCAACGGTGGCGCCATCAAGTGATAGTATGAGTGCGGAGATTCCACTGTCTACATTCGATCTTCCATTCAGGGCTGAAAAGCGTCAAGAGACATCCACATCGACACCTGTGTCTCTTGAATCATCACCAGTGGTATCCTCTATCCCGTCGTCAACTTCTTCATCATCGACGAGTGCAGCAACGCCAACTATAATCGATTTCCCAACTCCTAACGGACCACCGCTTCTGCAAATTGGGAGCTATAATTGCACGTCTTTGATGACGCTTGATCTACTTACCGGTATACTAGAGAAATTCCTCGAAACGACAGCTACTACGACTAGTGCTGCAATAACTATGTTTACTTTCAACGTGCACGCTGCTTCATCTATCACCAATCCAGACGCTCCAGCACCGAACCTTTCCCAAGTCCAACTTCCTGAATCTGGGCAACTACTGAGCGATGTGTTGCAAGGTAACCTTTCTGATGACACTTTCACTCCATCTATCTTGGCCGACCAACGCGCAAACTTGAACAGCTCATGGTACAATGTCGATTGGAATAATCGCCCACTCATGGGTTATTACGAGCACTCCAAAGACGACGATGGGAATCTGTTTACGGAAAGTGGATGGCCGACAGAGACTTACATGGAGTTTAAGCAGCTATATCGACTTGTCGCTAGTTACGGCACAATCGCTTCGCAAATGTCGCTATATAACATCGGGCCGGATCTGGACTATGTCTTCCCTCCCGGCACTATCATCGACGAAAAGACACCATCGGTCAGCTCGGATGGACGAGTGACTTCCGGATGCTTATTTTCTTCTTCTGACAACACCATCACCTCGTCGACAAACTCGTCTTGGGCCCTTGCTGACGTACCACCAATTGACGTCAGCGCAAACCCAGACTCCTCGTCCACTATACCCTCCGTTACCAACCTGACCGCCTGCGGTATAACTCCATTTCTCAACCAAACCCTTACAAATACGACTGCGGACAAGAATCCCTTGCCCTACGCTGCATACGTACGCTCCACGATATGGACGTTCGCGCCTGGCCAACCCCTTAATTCCTCTGGTGAAGGCGACGATACCAATGACAACCGCTGCGTCGTCATGATGATGAAACCACCCTACCCAGGGCGCTGGCGCGTAGAAGACTGCAACCAACACCATCGTGTAGCCTGCCACGACCCACAACAACCCTACAACTGGCGCATCTCCGACGACTCCACCTACTACCGTAATGCTGAGAGCTACTGTTCAGACCCATACCAATTCAGCGTCCCACACACCGCGCTAGAAAACTCGCATTTGTTTTCTGCTTTCCAGGCGGCCGCTCCAAATGAAGATGCCCTTTATCTTAATCTTAATGCTTTGAATGTGCCGGACTGCTGGGTCGTTGGACTCAATGGGACATGTCCGTACCTTCCTACGACGGACACAAATCGTACACGTATTGTAGTAGTGCCGACAGTAGCCGCTGTAATCATTTTCCTACTGGCTGCGCTTACCTTTTTCGTCAAGTGCGCGGCGAATCGGAGGGAGAACAAGAGGGGAAGAAAGAGGAGGATGGTTGATGGTTGGGAGTATGAAGGTGTTCCTAGTTGATTGAGAAACGGTAACCCAATGTAACCCTCTTGAACAAATATTTGTAAGTATAGCAGCATTGACCAGAAACCCAAATTTGACATTAGTCACCAACACCTCACCACATCGCTTAGACCAACCTCCAGGGTGGCGGGTATAATGCGATGCGTACCGTTCTCACAAATTGGTCTGGTACATAGTGTCTTTGTTGTGGAATACATGAAAGAAATTTGATCAAGCCATTCATCCCGGCTGCTGTTCGCTTTGTGAAGAACCAAGTCGTATAACATGGCTACCTCTCAATCATTCGTACGGCTGGTTGTCAGTGAAATATCATCACCTACAGCGAATACGACCGTTATGCTTGGTAGCATTTTAGAGCGTCTTAATTGTTCATGGCCGAAAATCCCTGGGCCCCGTTACTCAAATACAAATTCAGCAGCATGGTCTCTCACGGCGGTAAGGGCCTCAACGGAGGGCATTGGGCTGCGAGCGCACGAGGACCTAAACACGTCTTTTACATCAACGATGGTCAGGTTGACTAGAAGAGTCCCCTGGTATCGAGGGCGAACCTGTAAGTGCATGGGGAAAACAAGATGCAAGCTGTTATTCTCATGTACAAACGCTTTCCTGCAAACAACCAGCTTTAAGTCGTCTCGGTTGAACACAGTAAGTCAGTAAGTCGAATATCTTCATACGCTGTTCCTCTTCTGTCACATTTTCCCATTGTCGTAATAATCTTAATGTTTTTCAAACTCCACTCTCTCGAATATTCCATGTACTTGGTCATCGTTCTATGTGAGGATTCTGGCAAGTCCTTCACAAATTCTGTTCTTTCGGACACGAATCACTTCCGTCGCAATAACGTTTGATTGAGCTCGTTCCTAAGTGCACGTACTTTCTTCCAGATGAAATATCTGGCCCACGTGTCTACATCATAGCGCACCATGTAGGCAGCTGTGATGGGCCCAAGCCCTACAGTTTCCGTTTACTCCCACCTAGAGCTTTACCCTTCTCCTCGCCTACAAATTCGACCAGGTTCTCCGTGGTACGTGAAGTGTCTACATTTCAAGCTTTACGTTCGATCCTTTTAGTTGATGTTATCAACTACTACAATGGCGACCGTGTTCCAATTCTTCCCTGACCTGCCCGCTGAACTGCGCGTGAGCGTCTGGCATGTTGCCCTCGAGGACGATTATGACGATCTCAACGGCCGTGACCGAATCATTGAGCTACACACCTACAACCCAACGTTCAAACGGATTGCCGCCTCGGTATCGCGCCGCTACCCAACGCTTTTCGAGGTCAACCGCGAAGCGCGGTATGAAGCTGCTAAAGCTGGCGGCGGAGAAGGGGTAACTGTAAGTCTTTGCTCGAAACAAGTGTTTTGTTGAAGAAACTTGACATACTGACGTTGTCGTGCTCGTGTAGGCGAAAACTCGCTTCAATGGCCGAAAGGAGCCGGAACACACGACCAGCTTCAGTATCTACATCAACTGCTTACACGACATAGTCTTCATTTCAGAGCGGTTCATCTCCTACGAACCCAGTTGCGAACATTTACGCCACCACAGGGTTAACAAAACCGAGGAGACGAGCGAACAACTCTTTATCAGTATACTCCCCGACAGTGTCCTCAAGAAGATCTTGTACCTCTTGCTCACGATTGTCAACGAAGCCAAGCATGGTCGGGCACCTTACAAGGGCAAGTATCTCGAGCTCTTCACTGCCCTAAAGCGTCTTCATCTTTTCGCTCACACCCTCCATGATCATTCTGTCCGAACAAGGCAAGTAATTGAAGCGCATGTGTATAAGGTATGGGAGTCAGATCACTCATGGACACCATATGTATCTGACTCCCTTGGCCCCCTTAATGGGCACCCCGAACATCACAAAACTCTTACGTGGATGTATGTTACCGGTATTACGAATCTTGAATGCGATGGAATTCGCAGAGTTGAGTGGGGTCTTAGGAAAGATTTCCGGGTGCCTAGGGCGAAGAAGGGATCGGGCACTCTGCAAAAGCTTGATTGAAGGATGGGGATAACGGGCATGTCTTGAGGGGCGATAGGGATCAAACCGGAAAGATGCAGGACTGCAACCAAAGGTCAGACGTACCCATCAAAGCAAGACAGGCTGTTCAGAGCAAACGACACGCATTAGAACAGATAATGAAGAGTAGAAATAAATCTCATTGCCTCCCAAAGCCAAGACTCCCACTATGCACAAGTCATCTCTCTACACACCCTGCACCTTGCGATAACTCGGCGGCTTAAGTGTCCGTCCCAACAACTTAACCGCATAAGGTGGTACAAGACTAATCGCCGCAATAACCGCAAACTTCCACCAAAACGCCAAACTACCCACGAAGGCAAGATCAAAATACCCTGTCAAAAAGGGCACAGAGCCAAAGTAGATGGCCGCCGTACCCACGATACTAGCAATCATAAGCCAATGCCAAGTCGTAACCTCCATAGCCACCATGACCAGTTCATTGACAATCAGCACCGAGAAACTGACACTAACCATTTTGAGGAAAGTGGGATCGGGTGCTGCGGGGGGTGCTGTAGATTTACCGGCGCCGATGAGGAGTTGCGACAAGCCCTGAATGATGGAGCCTTGGTAGATGGACACGGCGACCCAGATGAAGAAAGACTTGTAGCTCAGCGACCGCCCAGTCTTGAGTTCGGCGTAGAGTTCCGGGTAAAGGTTCGCCACACTCTCATCCACATCGCGATCCAAGACAAGGGAGAAGACGGGCATCATGGTGTAAATAGTGCTGTAGCCGACGAGCAACCAGTCCTTGTACAGAGCGTCGGGTTTGAATTCACTCGCGACGGAAAAGACGGTCTGGCAAATACTGATAATGAGACCGCGATGAATAACGAACTGACTCAGTTTAGCAGAGCGCTTGTACGAGTTTCGACCGTGCCAGACGAGTAGTTTGACGAGGTAACAGAATTGCTCAATGGAGAAGTCAGCTGCGAGGGAGGCTTGACGACCTTCTTTTCCGACGATACCGACGCCGACGTCCGCGGCTTGGATCATGGAGACGTCGTTGCCGCCGTCACCGATGCAACATACGCGCTTCTTTGTGAATTCGCGGATTAGGCGGGCGACGTCTGCTTTTTGCGTGGGGGAGCAACGGCAAGCTACGACGGTGGGGAGTTGGACAGCTACGGAGATGAATTCCTGGCGGAAGTGTTGGAGGAACAGGGCGAGGGATTCCCCATCGATGAGGAGGCAGGCATCTAATTTTCCCCGAAGGAAATCGAGGTTCCCGGAGGCGAGGTCTTTACGTTTGAGCTTGGCGATTGTGTGGACGTATTGGCCACGGGCTACGAGTTTGGATGAGACGGCTACGCAGCGAGCGGTCTCTACTTTGTCGCCTGTTAACATCCAGATCTTGATGCCTGCGTTGCGGAGGAGTTCGAGGGAGGGCTTGACGTCTTTCTGAAGCTTGTCTTCGACACCAGTGACGCCGAGAAGTTCCAGGTCGTTCTCCAAATACTCTTTTACTACATTGGCGACGGCGGCATCGCGGTTGTTAAGGGCAAGGGAAGCTTGAGCATGCTTGGTAGAGAAGTCTTGGTAGATTTGCGCAGAGAGCTTTTTGCGACCAACGACTAATGTTCGGAGACCTTCGCGTGCCATGTTTGCTGTTTCTTCGTCTAGCCAATCGTTGGCGGCAACGATGGATGTCATGACTGTATCGGCTCCTTTTTGGTAGAACCAGATCTCACCACCATCATCAGTGGGTGACGATGCTGGACCATGATAGAACTTCACAACGATGCCCATGCGTTTGCCTTCTGACGTGAACGGAAAGACGTTCAAGATGCGCACCTTGACCACGGTATTGCCGCTGTCGCACGATAAAAGAGTCATAGATTCGCGGTCGCGGGACAGTAGCTTCAAGCCAACAGCTTCAGTCCACCTGACGATGGCAATCTCATCAGGGGAAGAGGCTTGATACGTGGTCACTGTCTCTCCGTTCTCTTCCTCAGTAGTCGGCGTTACATTATGGCAGAGGGCTAGAGCCAGCACAACATCGCGGACCCGAGATCCAATCTCTCGGCGTGTACGAGTAGCTGAAGTTAGGGGAGCGGTATATGTGGAAGATGGCGTGACAAGCGATGGAGCTTCTCCGGCGGGCGGTGTAAAGCATTGATGAACGTACGATGATACTTCGTCCATGGCTTCGTTTGCGTACGAGACCGTGCCGACATGTATCTTCTTCATGACCATCTCTACATACTGTTAGTCATGTTAGAGGTAATTTGTCAGTACACATACCATTTTGGGTCAGAGTACCCGTTTTATCACTCAACAGGTACTCAATACGGCCCAGGTCTTCTGGAATTGTGCTAGTCCGAACGATAGTGCCTTTGATGCTCTCATCATGATGGATGAACCAGGCGTAGACTGACTTGCCCATATCGAGATTGACACGCAGACCTACTGGGACAATGGTAGAGAACAAGATGAGGAAACGCAGCATGGAAGCCCACCACTGCCGGCCTTCGATGACCTGGAAGCGTGCAAGGGCCACTAGGATGAACGAGAGTGACAGCGTGAAAATGCAGAGCCATTTGGTCAAGGCATTGATCTCCAGTTCCAGTAGACCGGTCTTGGATCTTGATGGCGATGTCGAGAGCGCTTGACGAGTTTGTGGGCCGGTGTATACAACCACAGCCAGTAAACTGCAGCTTGAGGCAACAACAGTGTTTGCCCAGATAGTGTTGTCGATGCTCAAGGATGCTGACTGTACGTCTTCAGGAGAGGCCGTCCCTTGATGCTCATGAGGGTCATACTGGCGCTGGGTCTTAGGTGGCAGTTCAACGGTTCCGTAGAATTCATTGACCTTCTTGTCCGGTTTGCCAGCAACGACGCGGAGCCGTGTGTATTCACCAACATCTAAATTTTGCGTAAGTGGTGAAGTCAGGCGCAGCTTCCAATCGGTTTCTCCGTCTAGCTGATCGGTTCGGATGAAGGCTTCGCCCGAGGTTCCAGTAGCTATGGCACTGTCGACCTTGGCTGTGTCTTCGGCATCTGAGTCGTCAATGAATGCGGATGACGAACTCTGCGCTTTATGTTCATTCTCAACGGGTACTGCATTTTCGCTGGAGTAGCTTTTGAGAAGCACCATGTCGGCAGGTACTCGTTGGTCCTTGCCAAGCTTGACAACGTCTCCAACCTTGAGGCTCCGAGAGGGTTTTACAACTTCCCAGTAGGTGCATGTGGCCAAGCCCTTGCCTGAAAGTCGCTGCTCCTCGTCGTCCATGTCCGCCGACCGACCTACGTCCTTGGGCTGCTTCCTCAAGCGCCTCTTCTTCTGCGAGTTCTTTCCCGGCGCGACGCCGTTGCCGAGGCTGTTCTCCTCAAACTTCAAGACGGTGTAACCTTCCGAGTTTGCTTCTGCGTCTCGCCGCCGTCGCGCGATATCGTCCATTGCCTCTTTACCCAGAGTTATGGATATGACAAAAGCCAGTGGGAAGATGTAGGTGGATAGATAGCCAATCCGTAGGACAGGTATGATTTGCGAGAGAGCGACGAGCAGAAAGTACATGTTGATGAAAAAGGAGAATTCATTGTATAGAGTGCGTGGTAGGAAACTCCATGGGGTATATTTGGCATTGGATACAGCATTGGCGGGGAATCTGGAGGTTTGAAGCTGGCCAACGGAGATGGTGCGCTGCGTGGTTGGATCATGCTCTTCTTCGGCATCCGACTCTCCAGCGTCGTCGCCTAACTGTATGGGGGCATTGTTCTGTCGTGAAAGGAAGCTGGGCAGGCGCATAGTCGAGCCTAGGCGGGATAGGGCGCTCGGTGGTGGTTGCCGTCTTCTCCGTACTGTGTCTTGTGCAGGCAGCAAGGGCGAATCGTCATCCCCAGACTGGCCATAACTGCCAGCAGAGTCCCTTTTGGACCCTTCCTCGTCGTCCAACAGCCCTCTTAGGTCATCCTCTTCCGGCTCTTCCCTTTTCTTGCTTGCGCGCAACCGGCCTACCCTGAGGTTCCTCAGCGGTATCCTCGCGCCTAATTCATGGTATGGTCTTCTTTGCTCCCTTGACTGACGGCGTGGTGGTGTAGCGGCCGACTGCGAGTGCGAGGCCAGAGGGTCCAGCTCCTCTAGGTCGAGTTCCAGGTCCGAATCCTCATCTGGCGCATTCGGCTGATGGTACTGGTGGGGTGCAACCATGGCTCGTGGGCGAGCAAAGATGGTGCTGCAGTGCAGAAGGGGTCGCTGGCTAGTTCCACCTCATGTGCGACGGGCTTAGGTGTGGTTATGGCTATATTGGTTGCCTTCGGGGGTCCGCGGCGTTTCGGGGGTGTGTCTAGATGCGATGTCTGGGCGACTGGCCGTGTCGTCTCGGGTGCCGAGGAGTATCTGGAGATTGTAGATGTGTGACGTATGTTTCGGAGTGGGTGACCGGGTCAAGAGTGAAGGGAGCAGTTGGTGGTTTGTGAATTGTAGGGCCCATGTGTCTTGAAGTCGCGTCACTCTCTGGGCTGGGTGTGGCGCAGCCAAGTGTGGCTCGAGGACAGGGTTGCCGCGGCGGGCCGTCTCAATGTCCAAGGCGCAGGAACAGCTGGCCAGATCGATTTCTCACTCATCCTCCAAGACTACATGCGATGCGATCGGGGCTCGCCTCTGCTATTTGATTCTTGTTGCTTTCCTGGACGAACATCGCGTCTTTCGCTGTTGTGCGACATACAGAGCCTATGCTCTTCTGCTTCTATAGAGGTACGTAGCTATCTTCGCGATCACTGACGTAGAAAGGGATGACGATTACGTCCGCCCACCATTCGCGTTCAAGTTATCGTCGCAACTGCCTTTCACCCTGCACCCTTTTCAATTGCTTTTGCACATGTTGCTCTCTCCCGCATATTTCTCCGTGGTTGGCATTTTGTCCCACGAGGCGCCAACTGTGGGACGTCAACCCACTTCCATCGCCGACACCAAGGCCCAACATTCGAACCACTAAACGTCAATTTCAGCGCTGATTGCCTGAGCAGTACTTGTAGATACCCTTTGAATTACCTAATTATTCCACAATGGACGAAGACGGCCCCAACTTTTCCTATGCCTACGGTGGCGCGTCCTCGAACCCCTCGACTCCCTCGATCCCTTCAAATGCATCATGGAATCCGGCATTGCGCAGCGAGAACGGAGCGAGTGTACCAGTCGGCGCGAAACCCACGACACAACCCCAACAGTCCAAACCAGAGTCGTCGGAAGGAGACGAGGAGGAGGAGGATGAAGACGACGAAGACGACGAAGATGACGAAGACGATGACGAAGAATCAGAAGATGGCAGCGAGGACGACGAGGAGGCTCCCTCAAAACCTGCAGTAGCTGCGCAATCCGTATCAGAACCTGCGAGCAAGCCTACAATTGAAGAAGAAAGTACAAGCGACGAATCTCCCGAGCGCAATGACACCATGCAAGCACCGCCCAGCGCACAACCACCCCAGACAAAAGAACCTCTAGAGTTTGGAACGGACGGTGCGCCAGAGGACGATCTGGTAGATGCAACGCAGGCACTCAATATCGGCGAATCGCAAGCGACACCGGCAAAGGCCGAATCAAGCGAAGAGGAGGACTCGGAAGAAGAAGAAGAAGAAGAGGAGGAGGAGGAGGGAGGAGGAGGAGGAGGAGGAGGAGGAGGAGGAGGAGGAGGAGGAGAGCCAAGAGGAAAGCTCAGAAGAAGAACCAGAGCCGCAACAGCACCCAGAGGAGAACTACGAGCACCAAGGGGAAACCACAGCTCTTGAGGATGCCATGACCGATAGTGTAAAAGTACCTCTGGTAGAAGATACAGAAGCAGATGAATGGGGCGGTTCCGGCGACGACCCTTTTGATCTTGGTGGTAAACCGCAGGAACCACCTCTAGAGACACCGGTGGCAGAAGCTGTTGGGACGACAGTCGGAGATGACAATATTGGAAACACCACGGTAGGCGGCAATACAGGAGCCGACATTGACTGGGGTAATTCGGAGGAGGCGGAAGACTTTTTTGGCGTGGTCGCGAGCCAACAGATCGAACCTGCGCAGGCCGTAGATCAGACTCCTGGCGCGCATGTGGTACAGGCCGAAGCAAAAGCCGCTGAAAAGAGTGAATGGGATTTGGACCTTGACTTGGACGACGATTTCCTACCCGACCAAGAGGATGCACCCGTCATTGAGTTGAGCGACGACGAGGGGTTCCTCGAAGATGAAGCGCCAGTACCCGCAGCGCAACCAACGCAACCTGCTCCATCAGGAACCGCAAGCCGATATGCTTCTCAAACCTCAGCAGCAGCACCAGCAATTACGCCGGCGGCGAACCCATATGCCTCCCAAGCACCGGTTACACCAGCTTATGATGGCTTTGGACGAAACCTGGCATACCAACAGCAACAGCAGCCACCTCGACCGCCAATGGCAAGCTCAGCGCAAAGTTTCGTAGACAAGTCCAAAGGAGGTTACGCTTCGCCTTACGATTTACCAGAAGACATTGTGACTACCCGAAAGCGACCTGCTCCGCGAACAACAGTATCAGCTGTACAGCCAACCCCACCACCTCCACGGACTAGCAGTATGTCCTCGAACACTGGACCCCCTGGACCTCTACGACCGCCTATGTCATCGAGCATGTCAATTTCCAGTCTGTCTCCACCATCCTCGGGCCACTCTATGCAGGCTCAAATGACCGGCATGCCACCACCGGCAGCAGCACCAAAGCCCGCGGTTACAGCGAAATCACCTTCGAGTGATTTCTTCGCCGAGCTGCCTATTACCTCCAAGCCGCGCCCATCAGGGCGCTACACCCCGCAACCGAGCATGCCTGTTCAACCTCAACCTTCGGCCAATCATCCTCCCCCGCAACTTCCGCCAAAGGAGCGTACGGCTTCCACGTCCTCCCTACGCAACGAGTTCATCCCGGATGCTGCAAAGGTCGCTACTCCTCCTCCGTTCAGGCAACCAGAACAACTACCCATGTTCCCGAGTCAACCATCGGTCCCTACGCGAACAAATAGTCTTCCCGTGCCTCAGCCGGTACCAGCGCCTCCTTCGACGAGCAGATATTCTCCGGCTCCACCTCCTTCGGGACCAGCTGCCAACTCAAGATACTCCCCTGCGCCCCCAAGCGCACCAGCAGCAAACGCGCGATATTCGCCCGCTCCATCGCAAGCACCCCATGCTCGTTATCAGTCCGAACCACATAACAACTTGACGCGGACTCCTTCGCAACCTTTTGCGCCCCGAACTTCCAGCCCGCTGGCGTTTCACAGCATACCTCACCAGCACGAGCAGGTTCCCGAAAACCACGCCCAACATGCTCCAAACCACCAGGTTTCGCAATCGGCTGATGGAATGCCTCGCCCCCCTATCCGAAGCCCACTGGGAGAGGTTAGTGAGATTGAAGAGCCAGAGCCAGAACCAATACTTAGCTCAAGGCCGCCTACATCTGGAAGATCAGAGACTCCACCTCTAAGAAGTACACCTTCATCAGTAGTTGGCTCACCACGGAAAACTGATAACTACGCACCAAGATATCAGCCAGCTCAGCCAGCAGTTCCACAACGCTCCCACTCCCAGTCTCCAACAGCGACCATGAAACAGCCTGGACGCGGCTTTGGTAGCTCAGAACCCACAGGAACTCCTTATGGCATGATGCCGTCTGCAATTTATGGTGGCCAGTCTACCATTTCCAATACTGTCAACAAAATCCCTCATCGTCGGCAAGCATCGACGACCTACGATTTCATTCTCCCCGAAGACGAGCGTTCGGCAGATCCACTCGAAAGGTGGAAGGGCCATCCTGTGTTCAACTGGGGCCTAGGGGGTAATATTGTGACGAGCTTCCCTAAACAGATTCCTCGATACGGGGGTGGTGGATCCGCGCCGATGATGAAGAGCAATCCTGGTGAAATCCGTATCCAGAGTGTCAAAGAGGTTTTCCCTCTACCAGAAGACATCGCTAAGTTCCCTGGTCCCCTCAAGGCTAAGGGCAAGAAAAAGGATGTATCAGTATGGCTAGGCCGTAAGATCGAAGCATTGGACAACCAGTCCAAAGAACCAGGGCTCGAACACACTATGAGTGAAGATGAGCTCAAGCGTCTGGAAGATCGCACCCTCCTCTGGAAGCTCATGCAGATACTTGTTGACAACGATGGAAAATTAGAGGGCATCCCTGCAGAGACCGCCGTCAAGAAGTTGCTTTCACCAGCTGGTGACGAGTCATCAGACGAAGCGGGTTCATACTCCACAGCAGCCGACATCGTCGGGCGTTCAAGATCTAATACTTCCAATCTTCAGGCAGAACCTGTAGATCCCCGAGCCGTCGAAGACTTGCAGAGTATGCTCGTTAAGGGTGACCGCGAGAAGGCCGTTTGGCACGCTGTCGATCAGCGACTATGGGGACATGCTATGCTGTTGTCTTCTACTCTTAGTAAAGACATATGGAAGCAAGTTGTTCAAGAGTTCGTTCGAAAGGAAGTTAAGAAGGCTGGGCGCAGCAACCAGGCATTGGCTGTTCTGTACGAGGTCTTTGCTGGCAACCATGAGGATTGCATCGACGAACTGGTACCCGCTTCAGCTCGTGCTGGTTTCCAGATGGTGAGCGCCGACGGTGCTGGCGCAACACAGAACGCACTACAAGGTCTTGACAAGTGGCGCGAGACGGTTGCACTGATCCTAAACAATCGCAGTGAAGGTGATGCATCAGCACTTCTCTCGCTTGGGAGACTTTTGGCTCAGTACGGTCGTGTTGAAGGTGCGCACGTATGCTTCATTTTCGCCCGTTCGGTTTTGAAGGTCAGCGGAGTCGATGACCCACAAGCCGATCTCGTGCTGATCGGCGCTGATCATCGCCTGAATCCTCTGGAGATGGGTGTCGAGCTGGAGCCGATATTGCTCACTGAAGTATACGAGTTCGCAATGTCGTTGGCATCCCCTACCGGCTCGTTTGTCATCCCTCATCTGCAAAATTACAAACTCGCACATGCGTATCAATTAGCCGAGAGTGGATACAGGACCGACGCGCAGGCATACTGCGATGCTATTGCAGCGGCCATGAAGGCTGCGACCGTGTCCTCGCCATACTACAACGCCGCTTTTATCGCCAGTTTTGACGATTTGGGCAAGCGACTCTCGCATTCTCCCAAGGATGGATCCTCATCGTGGATCTCAAAGCCTAGCATGGACAAGGTTGGAAGCTCACTTCTGTCAAAGTTTAACAGCTTCATTGCAGGGGATGACGAGGATAACACGACCAACAAGTCAGGCGGGTCCGAAGTTGGACCTTTCGCTAAGATTGCTGGTGACAGTCCTTCCCTCACGCCTTCACAATCGAACGCGGACCTTTACGGCGCAATGTCTGGCTATGGAGTTCCCCCACAGCCATCAGCCCCAGGCAACTCAAGGTATGCGCCATCGAACGCCTACGCGCCAAGGTCGTCCTCGGAGCAGCCACGGTCTCGTTACGAACCTCAGGGTCGGCCGTCGATGGAGTCGAACGACAGCTTCGGCATGCGAGCAGCATCCGACACGTATACACCTATGACTCCGACAACAGGCATATACAGCCCTACGCAGAACCAACTGAGCCCACCGAGTGCACGCACACAAGCTAAGATACAGTCGTACTCACCCCTTCGTCCGGAGTATAGCCCGGCTCAGCCATCTCTTGGAAGCCCTTACATGCCTACACCTTCCGTCGAAGAGTCCTCCTCAGCCCCTGCGTTCGGTGGTTACCAGCCCCAAGCGAGCTTCGACGAGCCAACTCAACCAACAGCGAACGAGTTAACATACGATCGATACGGACCCTCGTCATCTACCTTTGAACCTCCTGCATACCAGCCATACAACCCCGATGAGGACGACAAGGAAGAGGAGAAGCCACTAACGAAGAAGAAGTCTTTCATGGACCTTGACGACGATGACGACCTCGCTGCCCGCGCTTCCGCTCTGAAGATTAGCGGAGGCGGTGGCTCCAAGTCAGAAGCAGACAAGAAGGCAGACGAGGCGTTCCGCAAAGCCGCCGAGGCAGATGCTCAGCGTGACAAAGAGGCCGCAGCAGCAAAGAAAGGAGGATGGCTGTCTGGGTGGTTTAAGAAAGATCCCAACGCCGGCCCTGGCCCTATCAAGGCCAAATTGGGAGAGGAGAGCAGCTTCTACTACGATACAGATCTTGGCAAGTGGGTGAACAAGAAGGGCGGCGCGGCAGACGCGGGTAAGCCCGCTGCAACACCACCGCCTCCACGCGCTGGTCCTCCCGGCGGCGCAGCTCGAAGTGCGTCTGGCGGCGCACCCACACCGCCTATGGGTCCTCCCGGCGCACTGCGTCCACCTACATCCAACCCTCGCTCCTCTTCCATGCCACCACCCATGGGTGTTGCTGGCTCCCGCGCCTCTACACCAGGCATACCAGAGTCTGATGAAGAAGGCTTCGCTGGGCCCAAACCACCTACGCTAGCCAGACCAAGCTTTGGTGCTGCGTCAGGACCGCCATCACGACCGGGTACCGGTATGAGCAATGCTAGCAGTATTGATGATTTGTTGGGTGCACCGCAAGCCAGAAAAGGACCAGCAAGTAAGAAGAAGAAAGCTGGTCGCTATGTCGACGTTATGGCGAAGTAAAACGTAAAACTTTATGGGTAACGACGAAGATATGGAATCAGAGATTACGTAGAGGCAGATAGATCGGCTGTTATCAGTCGAATCGGATCACGACATGTATGGGATAGTGTCATGACGGATGGATTCGTGACGAAGGAATGCTGTGATGCGCGGCATATACGTTGGTTCCTGCATTAGATGGAGTGTTAGTCGAGCCTGTTTCTCGGGACCCATTTGTACTATAATATCACCTTTTCAAGTTTTTTCTATCTTGCAACACTATCGCATTCAGTAAGTTCACACGGGTCCAGAGATACAAGATAGACGTGTCCACTTGGGGGCGGCCCCAGCTTTCCACTATCCCTCCACAAAAGATACGAAGAACGGCCTTTTGCTCGGAGCTGTTGCTGGCTGGGCTGATTGACCGGGGGCGTGATTGGGCTTGACCCCACATGAACACACGCGCACTCCGTTCCGGTAACCACACCCGACAACGGAGATGACGCATGCGGCTGCAGCATCGGTGACATGCGTTTTCACGTGGCAGGGCTGGACTATACACGCCAATCTCCATCGCGAGGGGCGCCTGTTGGATCTTGCGAGGTTTCTTATCGCGCTTACTTGATGTCTGTTGTTGTTAGTTGGGTTTGTCGGGCGGACCTTGCCTTCGCGCATATCAAAACGCCTATCTTTCTGGCGCTCCGATTGCTGTGGAGCGAACGATTACAGCGTCGCATTCCCAGCCCTGGAGCTCCTAAGACCGCTAAGATGCCTAGCCTAGACTCTAGCGGGCTTGACGCCGGCGGTTTCCCAGCTGCGGGGATTTAGGTCCCTCGCATGGTCTTTTATCTTGGGGTTTCGTGTTCTCATTCCTCTAACACGCTGGGTTCGTCGTTTCCTGTTGTCGCGGCGCTACCCTCTATATACTTCGTACTGGACTGGACAGTTGCGACGCGCGGAATCTAAAGTCGTCGCATTCTATCGCAGCGCAAATTGCTCGCGCAGTGGAAGTTGGATTTGGTACTGTTGATTATCAAAAGAGCGAGGCAATCATGGCGAAGAGCGTTTCCGTCACCGAAGGTGGTGGAGGAGGAGATGGCGTCCGAAGACGAGCATCGATCAACGACCCTGGCGCCGACGCCGCCCTCGCGAAGATGGGTTACCAGTCTGAACTCCCTCGGAACCTATCCATGCTGAGTGTTCTCGGCATGTCGTTTGCCATCATGGCTGTTCCTTTCGGTCTTTCAACAACACTCTACATCACGCTTACGGATGGTCAATCCGTGACTGTGCTTTATGGCTGGATCCTTGTTTCTCTCATCTCCCTGGCTATCGCTGCTTCGCTCGCGGAAATCTGTGCCGTGTATCCTACGGCCGGCGGCGTGTACTACTGGTCCGCTATGCTATCAACGCGCGAATGGGCGCCCATTGCCTCGTGGGTTACTGGCTGGCTCACTCTGGTTGGAAATTGGACGGTTACGCTTTCGATCAATTTCTCAGGTGGCCAACTCATTCTATCCGCCATCACGCTCTGGGACGAGGACTTTGTGCCGAATCAATGGCAGACGGTGCTTGCGTTTTGGGCTGTCATGCTCATTTGCATGAGTGTGAATATCTTCGGTGCCAAGTATCTGGATTTGATCAACAAGATATGTATCTACTGGACAGCGACAAGTGTGGTGGTTATTATGGTTGTGTTGTTGAGTATGGCGGACAATAAGAGGGATGCCGACTTCGTGTTTACGCATTATGATGCCAGTCAGAGTGGATGGTATGTTGGCCTTTCTCGTGTTGGTACGGGATACGAACCGATTGTACTGACTTTATGACTAGGCCATCGGGATGGGCCTTCTTCGTCGGCCTTCTCCAGGCTGCGTACACGTTGACTGGTTACGGTATGGTTGCAGCCATGTGCGAAGAAGTATCAAACCCGTCACGCGAGGTTCCCAAAGCCATCGTTCTCTCCGTCGCTGCGGCTGGTGTTACGGGAGTCATCTACCTGATTCCCATCCTCTTTGTTCTTCCTGATGTACAACTGCTCCTCGATGTCGCCAACGGACAACCCATCGGCCTGCTCTTCAAGACGGTCACCGGCAGTGCAGGCGGCGGCTTCGGACTCCTTTTCCTCATCCTCGGCATTCTCTTCTTCGCGGGCACTGGCGCACTGACCGCTGCATCCCGCTGCACTTACGCCTTCGCCCGCGACGGCGCAATTCCCGGTTCTCGACTCTGGGCCAAAGTGGACAAACGTTTCGACATCCCCCTCATGGCGCTAGTCCTCTCCACAGTCGTTGACTGTCTTCTCGGCCTCATCTACTTCGGCCTCGGCAGCATTCAACTCCTTCACCGGAGTCGCCACAATCTGCCTGTCCACATCCTACGGCATGCCCATTCTCATCTCTGTGCTGCGCGGCCGCAGAGCAGTCAAGCACTCAACGTTCTCACTCGGCCGCTTCGGCTACGCTATCAACGTTGCTATGATCGCTTGGATCTGCCTCGCAGTCGTGCTCTTCTGTATGCCGGTTAGTCTACCCGTCGAGGCGGCTACTATGAACTACGCGAGTGTTGTATTCGCGGGTTTCGCAGCGATCAGCGTGGGGTGGTATTTCATCCGGGGTAGGAAGGAATTTTCAGGACCGCCTGTGCCGACGGATGTTGAGCCTGGTGAGGAGGGCGTTGTTGCGGGATTGGCGGTGCAGGATAGTAGGCAGGATGTTGAGGGCAGGGGGGATAAAGATAAGGTTGTTGATGGAAGTCCTAAGAGTGAGCATAGTAAGGTTTATTGAGGCGGAGGATGTAGAGAGCGTAATTTTTCTGGAGCTAGATATGTTGTGAGATTGCATGTTACATTACATATATAATTGAGAGACTACATCGTAGCTTGCAATGTCTGAGGTGCATATTAACATGTTCAAGGCTGTAGTGACAAACACGGTAGCTTTCCGCTCTTGAGTGAGTGTGTGACGCCACACGACGCTAAAGCCACCGCTAGCAAGGATACGCGGTGCGCGTTTGATCGCTGATCGCAGACCACTCAACGCGACAATCACGGTTAATCTCATGGACGTGTTGCTTGCCTCTGAGACCGATGGAAATGAGGTGAGTGAATCTCTAGTAAGACCGATCTCGTCTTGTACATGCCCCACATCGTGCAATCTCTTACAGCCCTGTGCGGACCACGAAATGGCCAAATCGTCTAACATGAGCAGCGACTGGCGACATCCCATAGTCGACCTTACCAACGATGACAGAGCAGAAAGCGACGAGGGCGCGCTGTCCCCGCTGCCCTTGGCGACACCCACACACCCCTCCGTGATGTCTTTACCTCCCTTGTCACGACCACCTATTACCACGGCGCGACCCCTATATACATATCCATATACCGCACTCCCCGGGAGCATACCGACGGCAACGAGCACGACCAGTATGGGGCGCAATGGCGCGGCTCCGAGTAGCTACGTACCGCTGCCTGGAAATGCGCACAATGGAGCGAGCAACTCAGGTCACCCTGAGAGGCCAGTAAAGAGGATGAAGATGTCCGCAGGTGTATCCAAAGGCTCATCAACGCTGCCTACCCAGAGTACACCGAAGCCAGTTCCAAATAGAGGGATTCCGCCCGCGGCACAAGCGGCAAATATGGACAAGTTCAGACTTTCAAGCGCTGTTCCCGTGTCGAGACCTAGTGCTGCGAATAATTCTCCGTCCGTCCAAGATATCAATCGAGCGTTCAAGACGAACACCGAGCCTGCGAATCTACTGGGAAATGTCCAGGGGAACAGAACGCGCGCACTGCATATCGGTCGCCAGACGGTAAGTAACAGCTCGAGGTCGGTCACGACTGCACCAAGCTACTTCGCAGGTACTGCGGGGGAGCCGTCAGACGAGGACAAAGATAGTGTCTTGTCCGACGTCTCGTCCTCAGCAGAACCTGTACCGCAACAGACATCAAATGTGAAAGCAAAAGACGGATACGTTCAATCTGGGCTTGGACCAGCAGTCACCGCATTTCATTCATCGGCTCTCCGAAAGGGCTCAGACGTATCTGCGCCTCCATCCTCTACTGGGCGAAAGAAAACAGCGAACCCATTCGATTCTGAACAGGATCAATACCTCATCTTCCTGAAGGAAGTTAAGCAGTATTCATGGGCAAAAATCACGTCAGAGTACAACATGGACATGCCTACACGCCAGTACTCCGCACTCCAATCTCGCTATTCGACGTTTCTGAACAAGAGAGACAGGTCGAAAGATCCTCCTACATTGATACTACCCCTTCGGTGGGCTGCAGAAGCAACTGTTGATTGGAATCAGATCCATGGTACCAGTACTTTATCAAGAGGACCGCGAAACAACGAGTCCGCTATTCTTCGCCTGCCCCGGCATCATGAACGGGTAAAATTCAAACATCTACCCATTCAGCAGACCATCGAACGGGACTACTCTTCAGGAGGAGACTCTGCGCCTCATCGAGAACGGTCACGACGTGCGCAGCGAGTCAACTACACATGGCCAAAGCAACGGAATATTGCTGGCGATGGGATCGAAGCGTACGCTGAAGACATGTATGGAGCTCTGGCGGACGAGTCTGGTCCTACTCGATCAGAGACGACTCCGGAAGACGACGCACCTTTACCTAATGAGGCTATCGCCGTCGATAACGAGCCGATGCAAATCCAGTTCAACAATGATAATGCTAAACTGTGTTTGAGCCTACATACGAAGTCATGTGGTGGTCAAGTCAGGAAAGTGCCATATCTGAGTTCGTCACAACGCTTGTCAATGCAAAGTCCAACCGACGGGGACTGGGATCAGTTGTCTAGTCGCGACTGGCAAGGTATTCTGCTTCACGTTGACTTCAGTCCGGCTGAGATCAAGACAGTCGAGAAGGCTGTCGCATCAGCGAAGGGCACGATGTCGCGACACAGTACGGAAGCAAGGCGACTTCGTGATCTTTTAAAAGGTTATACGGATCCACAGGCCCTCCGACTGGTTGAGAGCCTTCGTTCACGCCTGCCCTGTCGAGACCGAGGCAGCATCCAAGCCTTCATACAGGACGCAAGAGCCGGAAATATCGCTGAAGTGCCGCAGATACAGCGGCTTGCAGCTGCGCGGCCAAACACAGCGATGCACTCGGTTCAGAAGATATCGACGACATCGATCATGCGTCAACGCGAGCTCGGCCGCCAGTCGAGAAGAGGCTGGCAGGCGGCATCCAGACCTCTTACGTATCAAGTCACGAACAAGTATATGGACACAATGGGGCCAGCAGCATGCTGGACGGGCGCTTCGAGCGATATCCACACTGTAGCATGGGCGCCAGATGGCGAGCACTTCGCGGCTGGTGCTGTCGCTGTTGATGATCCAGACTCTATGCAGTACAACCGACCGAACAATCTCCTCTTCGGTAGTACCATACATAGTACGATACACGAACTAGCGGAACACTACAAAATCCGCGAGAAGACTGAAACTGGCGCCAACTCAAGCCATGCCATGTTCGCATCTCAGGATCCAAAGTTGTACGCAACAGTCACTTCTGTAGCTTTCTCGAACAGTAGCCCTTTTATGTATTCATCGGGCTATGACGGACACGTCGGTATCTGGAGAACGGACACAGAGTCCGTCCAGCCTGTCTTAACTGCTAAGCTTAATATCAGAGAAAAGATCGACATCCTGTCGGTCAACCAGATGCAATCCGGGGTTATAGCAACAGCAGCGAAGGCATTGAACGAGAAGGCAATCAGAGTACTCAAGATAGACGAAGGTGAGCCGCGGCAGTTCGAGAAATGGAGCTTCCACTCAAACAAGGCTGTCAATCGCGTGGACCTAAGAATTCTCCCTTCCGCTTTGCAATTTGAACCAAGATATGGTGGGCTTCTACTTGCAGGCTTTGGTGCTAATATGAAAGAGACGGGCCTCGACATGACTGGCGACCTATGCTTGTGGGATGTCGAGACGCAGGCTCCATACTACATTCATGGGTCTAACAAGAACGTCTTCGATGTCACCTTCAACCCGAACCGTTCTAACATGCCATTGTTTGCCGCTGGATGTGTAGCAGCAGGATCACGTGCCAACCGTGGCACACGCTCAACAGTCCGCCTCTACGATATAAGAGATGACAACAAGTTTACATGTCCTTTGGAGTTCGAATGCAAAGCTCTGGATATGAATGATATCATCTGGTGTCCTCATGACGAGTATCTTATCGCGGCTGGCTGCACAGATGGACGGGCTTACGTCTGGGATGCGCGTTGGCCAGATGATCCGCTCCGTATCCTCTCTCACAGCAAATCTTTGATGCCTTTACAGGAGAACATTAAGCATGAACTCACAGATACGGGCGTCCGCTTCTTGTCGTGGGGTGAAAATGCGACGAGACTCTACTCTGGTTCATCCGATGGTGCAGTCAAGGTCTGGGATGTTACACGCGCTGAAGAGAACACGTTCATCAAAGACTTAATCATCACTGACTCTGGCATCATGTCTGCTGCATTCAGTGCGGACTACAGCAAGCTTGTCGTTGGCGAAGTCAACGGTTCAGTCAACATTCTTGAGGTTGGTAGGGACGATACTACCATCAAGGACGCGGACAGACTACGATATATGCCATATCAAGATGATGAGCAAGACGGAATCAAGGACCATGAGATTGGCAACATGAATCGTTCAGCACCCGAGTCTGGCATCGCGGAAGGCAAGTATCTGCTCCAAACTCGGCAACTGGAGCTCGCACCTATGGGAAGTCTGCCGATCCGTCAGGTTGTTCAAGGTCAAAACTACGCCGGTCCATTCGATCAGGGTAGCGGCGCACCATTCCTCCGCGAACAAGCGCTGCAGTTCCAGCTCGGTCTTACAACACCGCCAAGCCCTCAGTGTGATATCCCTGCCTGCGAAGACAATCTTAGCAAAGTCACCAGCGAGGACGTCGGTGACTCCGGGCGAAGTGCAGACCGCATTCCTGATGAACTGCGGCGTCAATGGAAAGCCACTGACACCAAAGGTACTATTATACCCGGCAAGTCGAAGTGCACACAATGTGGTCGTCCAGCCCGCCCGTCTATGATCGACCCTCGCAACGCCGTCTTATGCGAGCGCTGTTCTTTCGCATGCTTCCGTTGCGGATCTGTCAACCCTATCGCCGCGGCTACTACAACGCTCATTTGCGACTCGTGCGCTGGTATCTGGGAAATTGGTATCCTTGGATATGAGTGCGTTCAGCAGCCGCAGTCTCACCATGTTCGTACTGAGTTGGATGTTCCAGCATTAAACAAGTGGGACGAGGAAGCTCATGCAGACAAGCAAGAAGACTTCGATACAGCCCACGGCGACGAAATGAACGCGCTCACCGACTACTATCTGTCCTTGGCTATCGATCGGCCGGAGAGTCCGTCGTTGTAGAGTGTCGCATTCGAAATCAACTGAACGGAGGAGGATTGACCGTCGTTGAGGGATTTGAAACAGGAGATGAATATCCACATGTGTACATTACATTACAGAAGTGGAAAATGGTGGAGGAAAATTACGTTTGTATTGAGCGACGCTGGTGGTGAATGATACCCCATGTTATCTTATCAATCCTAACGCTCTGCCTTTCATTGTCTGCTAACACAACGTGATGGTGGTCATAATACAGAAATGATGCTGCTAGCCAGCCCCAGCCGTGACCACTCAATCTCGAGCGACAGCTCATCAGGTTGTCCTGAAGGTTTTTTGTTGTGGCACAGCAGACCGAACTGGCGTTATAGTTTTGTGCAATAAGGGGCGCAAGAACATGACTTGCGTCACCCGCGATTTCGATTGGTAAAATGGTAACGTAGACGTACTCGCAGACAGCAGACATGTGCGTCTCATAAGCATGTAGAGCTCGCTTTTATAAAGAAAAAAAAGAGCAAACTCTTCTCTAGACATGGCAGCTCTTGATGGATTTGGAAAACATGGAGATGAGAGATGTGAAGGGTGATGAAGATTGAGAAGGCGAGGGAGGTTCTCTTTATACACCCTCACCCATGCCACTTTCCCGATTCGGACACATAGTAGGCAACTCTGTCATTTAGGCGGACGCGGCGAGCAAGAGAAGCCATATGTTGATCATATGCATGTTTTTTGGTGGAAAGACTCGCTCACACACAATTCATCAATTTCAGTATTAGCTTTTTTTGGAACCAGAGCTCATGAGGGTCACTGCCGCTTCTTTTGGACAACGCCTCTCAATCCTAATGGAAAGTTCAATGGAGCACAAAGGCCATGTGCCTTCTGGAGGGTTGTTTCGGTGAGGTATGTTCGAAGTGTTATTGAGGAGGGCGGAAGGATCGACCAAATCAGTCGAGAAAGTTCAACTCTTGGAAGACAACACATACGGTTATACCATGTCAATCTTTTGCAATAAAATCTCAGGTGGGTAAGTGGGCAAGTTAAGACTGAAAGCGCGCGGAAAGATGGCTTTTATGACGACTAGTGATGCGAAGCAGAACACTATCGCCTTCCCGCTTATCATTTTTTGGAGAGATGGTTAGCGCTAGGAAATGTGTCATCCAGATATGATCATATGCGTTGTCTGCTTCTGGGAAAGCGAGACAACCACGCATGGCATGTATGACGTGCTTTCTTGAACCCTTCCGTCTCTGTAATTTTAAGAGTCGATGGAAAGCTGAGCCGAGCGCAGCAGAGCATGATGCTCGGTCATTTTTGTATCGGACTGGAAACTTTCATTGCCGGAGTCTTGTCAAATTCTGGAAATTGAGAGTTAGGGAATGTGGGAATGTGAGAGTTTGACCCAAGCAACCAAGGTTGTGTTTCATATACTCGTCGAAGTAGCGACTATGACACGCGGTGATTTTGGTTGCTCTCGAAACCATGACCCTACTGGTAGAATATTTCGCAGAAACCAGGACGACATGCTGTAGAAGTTTTGTGCGTTTTTCTTGCGACATGTCAACGTTCATCTGAGCTTTTCTCACGCCTTCTCGGAATATCCGGATGGATAATGGCTATTTTGATTTCGAGTGAAGGGAAGTTTTGCTTTTGGGAATGTTGGTAGACATGAGGGATGATCCCGCATCTGAGAAAGACTCGGAGGCTGGATCATAGAAGAGACCACACTCGTTGTTAGGTCGTTAAGCGACGAGTTTTGAGATCCGGATCAGAGTAGTGTTTTTGAAAGCCGCAAACTCATGGAGAGATCGTTTAGCATTTTGACATTGTTGGGTAAAGTTGATGAGCAGTCAAGAGATGCACCCAAAAGTCAATTTATATACGAATACTGGAAACTGCACAAACGTTCTAGTCCTTGGCATACGTAGCATCCACACCCTTCATCTCGCCCTGTTCCCTCCACTCATTCAAGATCTTGATAAACGCCGGACTTCCATACCCATAAGTCGCATTTCTCTTACCGCTCTCACTCGCCTTGCCCTCATTATTATAGTATCCTGGCGTGCACTCCTTGAGAAAGTCGCCCCGGATAGCCGTCCCATCAACAATCGTTTGTGTCCACTCTTCCTCCGCTTCCTTCGTTGGCTCTACTGTTCTAATCCCCCGTTTCTTACACTCGGAAATGATGTACGCGTAATGGATCGCCTGTTCATTGGTGACATGCATGAAATTCGGCGTAAGAGCCGCTTGGACGATCTGGACGAACAAGCAGTTTGGGAAGTTGCGCGTTCCCCATGCATGCAGTGTTTGTGCTCCTTCGGCCCACTTCTCGGTAATGGTCATGTTGTTACGACCGTAGATTTCGATGCCGGTCTTGTGCGACCATTCGTTTGCGAGCTCGAAGCCGGTGGCGTAGATCAGGCAATCAATATCGTACTCTTGTCCGTTTGCTACGATGCCGTTAGGGGTGATGTGATCAACACCTTGGCCCTTAGTATCGACGAGCGTGACGTTTGGACGGTTGAAAGTGGGTAAGTACTCGTCATGGAAGCAGGGGCGCTTGCAGAATTGGTTGTACCATGGTTTCAAAGCGTCAGCCGTTTCTTTGTCTTTCACTATCTCATCGGTTCGGGCGCGGATGGCGTTCATCTTTTTGAAATCTGCGATTTGGCGTTTGGCTGCGGCTTCCACAGGGTTGTTTGGATCGATTCCAGCGGTCAGTAGAGACCGAATGATATCGGTCCAGCGATCCGAGACCATATCTTCTTCTTCGTAACCGCCGTTAACAATGTTGTCGAAATTGTCCATACGCTTCTTCTGCCACCCTTTCTGGAGCGACTGTGCCCATGCCTCGTCAGTCGGGCGATTGCCACGAACGTCGATAGAGGAGGGAGTGCGTTGGAAGACGTAGAGCTGCTTTGCCCACTCGCCCAGATGAGGTACGATCTGGACGGCTGTCGCGCCCGTACCGATGATGGCTACACGTTTGTCTTTGAGCTTGTGCAAGTTGCCTGAGGGATCGCCTCCTGTATAGTTGTAGTCCCATCGCGAAGAGTGGAAAGAATGACCCTTGAACTCTTCGATACCTTTCAAGCCAGGAAACTTCGGCCGATGAAGAGGACCAGCGGCGGGTATCACAAATCGCGATTTGATCTTGTCGCCTCGCGCAGTGTGTGTAGTCCATTTCCCCTCTTCTTCGTTCCAACGCATCTCTTTGCTTTCGGTTTGGAATAGAGCACGCGAGTAGAGATCATACTTCTCTCCGATCATGCGTGAGTGCCTCAGTAACTCTTTGGCACGCGCATACTTCTCCGTCGGCATGTATCCGACTTCCTCGAGTAGGGGCATATAGATGTAGGATTCGATATCGCACTGCGCTCCAGGATACCTATTCCAGTACCTGAATCGCTGTCAGTGGGTCACCTTTACCTATAAATCAACGAGACTTACCATGTTCCTCCAAAGTCTCCAGCCTTTTCAATAATCTTGAAATCATTCACGCCAGCCTCAATCAATCGTACAGCACAGACCTGAGCACCATATCCACCGCCGATGATCACTACCTCGGTCTCTTCTTCAATGGGGTCACGCTTAAACCCTGGCTCGACCCATGGATCGTCTAGATAGTGCGATAAGCTACCATCAAGGAGTGTGTATTGTTCTACGCCTTCGTCTCGCGCCAAGCGTCGATCGCGCTCCTGGAGATACTTCGCTTGGAGTGCTGCCGGATCAAAGGGCAAGTCGTTCTTGTGCGCTATCTCACCAGTCTTGATGTCGACGGTGGACTTGGCGACATCTACCTCAGGGAGAGGTACCTCAGCTATCGGAGCTGCTGCGATGGGCCCTTTGGTTGTCATTGTGCTTCTGTTTGGTCAAAGTAAGGTGCTGTGACTCTAGATCAAGTCCCTGGATTACCCAAGGGATTTAAGGAATGAACAACCGCATAGTAGGTGGTGAAAGATAGGTATGTCAATCTAGCCGCGGCAACCCCTCACACAAGACTTCCCCACTCCACAGTCGGTTGAGTAGGTTCATAACATGATTACTCGATCACAGCTGGTTAGAATGCACCCTGCAATACGCGCTATTCATAACAGATGTCAGGTGGAAGCAGGAAAGATGCATTCATTGGTCTTGCAGAGCCTCTTCTCTAGCCCGAATAGTACGCGAATGTAAGGGAAGATGAATGGGGATAGATCTCTCCGTTCGGAACGGGTGTGGGGTAGCTCGGAATCGATCGTCGACTAAGCTCAGACGAGTCGCGCGGGGCTGCGTCGACGTCTCAGGTACTGCAGTACAAGATCGTCTTTTGAAGTTGAATGATAGACCAAGTCCGAGGATGATTAGTGAAATGCTCCATATGGATACTGATGTTCCTCCGTACCCCGAGCGCTCGGGCGGCGCGTACTGCAGATCCACGGCCGAACAGACGTCCCGCCTTCTTTCTTAACTTTCACAATGCTAACGTTCGTAAGCATAGCTGTTCAGTGAATCATCATCCTTTACATGCTTCGAGTATCGGTGTGACTGCACACGAGGACGTGTTCATGATGACGTGGGCTTCGCGCTAACAGACCTTGGAACGCGCTTACCCAAATGGCAATGGCCTGATAGCAACGCACCACCTGGCAGAATTCGGCCAAAATCGCAACTCGTATTGTGCGACATAGGCCTGCCACGATTGCGACAGCATCTCAACAACGCCGAGTTCCTTCCATCACGCCGAGAAGTATGACGGCCGGCGCCGGTAAAGAAACTGACAGGGTAGTCACTGTTGGCAGCAGTACTTGGGTTCAAGAGTTGGAAAAGCATAACGTTTCATTGAATCATCTATAATCGTAACCAAATCGTGACCAAGGTGTGTAACCCAAACCATAATCCACCCTATTGTATGTATAAAGAACGAAAGAAGTAATGGTAAAAGAGCTGGAAGAATAATCGTGAATGCACGCCATCGAAGCTCTCTAAACCTCGGCATCAATCTCCATACGTCCAGCGATGCTCCTCTTGATCTGAGCCTGTCCAGAGCAGACCTTCATGTACAGGTCAACGTTGGTGCCCAGAGATAGGGGGCACATGAAGACCGGCTCGGCGATACCCAGCTTTTGCACGGGGGTGTCGACGTAGTAGGCTTGCGTAGGGCAGTAGCTTCCAGCAGAGCAGTCGATGCTGCCGCACGAGCTGTCGCTAGCATCCATGGCTAGACCTTCGTCGTGGCCGGGGCAGTTTGACGCGGATTCGCCCTCAGCACAGTCGACAAAGGAGATATCGTACCAGAGTTGACCGCCGGCGATGGAGTATTCAAACTGAGTGTGCTGGCCGGCGACCAGAGTGTCTGACTTGCTGACTTTCATAGCAGTGCTGGAACCGGTGTAGCCCTCGGTGTGGGTGCTTCGTGCAGGAACTTTGAAAGATGTTGAGGCGTGGCCGGTAGAGGTCGACCAGATCCAGATGTCGTAGTCGCAACGGTTGGCGATGACGGCGTTGCCAGCTAGAGCAAGGCTAGCTTGAAGTGCCACGATGGCAAAGGTAAACTTGGAAAGCATTGTGTTCGTTGAGAGGGTCTGTAACAAAGATGTCTGGTAATGTATGATGACGACACAGGAGCGTGGCGAGGCTGCTTTAATAGAGACCGTGTGTTGGTTGGGGGTTGAATGAGTGTAGGTCCAGACCGTCAATTGAACAAAAGAGGGAAGTTTTGGAAGGAATGTGATGAAGCTGTCGAAGCCTCGCTGTGATGTGACAAAGAGAGTGTGTAGTTCGAGAATCAAAGAAAAGAGCGTGGACGTTGACTTTAAGAATGTAGGGATTTGAAAAGGGCCCACAACATAGTCCAGCTCACTCTTACTGCAACGTAGGTTACCGAACAAAGGATGACACTCAACTCCCGACAGGCCTACACTGTACACCAATCATACACCGAGACATTCAGGGCAGAACGAAACCGATCCCGAGTTTTCCGGCGGTAACTGCAGATTTTTCGCTTTGCTGTGTGTTTTCAACGCTGTCTGTGGAGACGGGGGTATGGGTTCTGGTTGGTCGGATTGCCTAATTGGGCGGCGCATAACTCAGCGCCCTGGATATGATGTAAGGAGATGCCTAGGCTCGCATAGAACACAGTTTCGAACCTTGCTTTTCCCTTAGCGGTCCCTCTGAGATAGGTGCTTGGTGTAAGCATCCAGGGCGTTTGGTGTTGCGAAAGGCTGCCCTACCCCAGGGTTCATCCTTCATGAGGGTCAGTCAGACTGCAGCGTGGCTATGCTTACACGCATAATTGCTATCAATGGCTTTTGCTGTTATCGCGTATTTACGCCAACATGCAGTCATCGAGACGGATTTGGTAGAGCTTAGAGTAGTCGATGTGACTGCAAGGTACAACATCTGCGCACCAATCGGTCATCGGCTAATTACAGGACAGCAAAGTCGTGAAGCCGACCGCTAGTAGTGATATGGACTAGAATGTGTTAGTGTAGGATTGTGAGGTAGGTTGATGACGATTGATCGATCATCGAGTAGCCACCTGCATGGAAGAAGCAGACTGCGGGAATGCCCAAGAATCTAGGCAGAGACCATTTGGACGTGTGTATGCGAAGCCGCCTGCGGTTTTCGACATAAACACCCAGTGTTTCGTGCTCAATGCCACGGCGCATCAGGTTCAATATCATTCGTCACTCGGGCAAGCTGTAAAGGATTCTATGAACATTCTTTATGGTTCTTGCCGAGCCGCCAACTAGATCGGGCATCGCCTACGTTTCTGAGGCAAACGCTAACCTCCAGTGCCATATCATTGTCCTTTCCAAGGAGACCTGTTGCCTTTTCTTCTTCGTTATCTGTCCCAAGTGCTTTTGCCTCGCCAGTCGTATGGCCCTCTTGCCAACTTTACACTTGGCAACGAAGTACGAACAAGGTGAATGAACTGTCAGATGACGTTGTGGCTGTCTTGCGAACTACCGAACCGCCGACTGGTGGCCGTCAAGCACTAAGAAAGCCCAGACAGATGGCGGGAAGAGGTTTTCACGTGTCTGTTCTAAGCTACTGCAGGTTTTTCACGGTTGAGGCAGTCTTCCGCCGGGGCTACGGGCTGCGTGTGAAAGTCGGCGCGATGGTACCTGACGGTTACAACGGCACCGAACTAAAGGATCCTTCTCTAACGGCCGGCCCCAGTTGGCAGAAGCCACGAGGAAGTTCCGATAGACTGCGGCCGCGGATTCTGTGCCCACTGAGTCGAATCGACAAGCTCGCGCCACGCGGCCAGCTATCTAATCGATAGGAACATTATCTCCACGTTTCAGGTACGAAGGAGTTCGACGGTGATCATCGACGCATGCGTCAGTATCGTGCATACGCGCGAAAGAACACCTTGCCAGATCTGACCTATCAGAGGTGTCGTCGGAGGGCGTCGCGATACACTAACAAGGTGTGGTTGAAGAGTTCTGCAGTCTAGCATGCGGTTGAGAGCCGAAAAGAAACCACGTACTGCACTACAGCCGACGGGCAGCTCAAAACCTGATGATGGAGGGGCCGGGTATAATAGACGCTGCAGATGCTGTGGGTCTGCGGCAGTAATCAGCAAACAGGAACTGAGCCGACTCCGCGAGATTGCTATGTGGCCATGCAAGACATGAGCTTGCCGCCAGCACATTTCGACACAATATGACAAACCTCGAGCGGATCCAGACCAAACACTCATGTTTCACATCATCTGGAGGCCTGAGGCACGGCAGGCACTCGGTGCTTCATCTTGAGTGAGATGAAGTTTAAAGAAACAATGTGGTGCCGCAGCGGGACGAAGATTAAACAGCACTGGGACTCCCTGCCACGACCCCTCATTATTACTACCATTAATTTTACGACATCCCAGCGGTGTCGCATGCCTGAGGTCGAGAGATGACGTCGAATTTCCATATCATCATATCTCGGCACATGGGTGATTACTTGGTGCGTGGCTCAGGCACAGTCGTCGGAGTCGCTGTCCCTTGCGGTATCGGATCCACGTCAACAGATCTCGGCCTCTTGTTGTCAAGTGCGCTAATACGTGGCGAGCATCCACGGCATCCACGCGGAAGATCGATGGTGACGGCAGAGGTGGAGCAGAGCGCGAGTGTCACGAGGCGCTGACTCTGGCCGTTACACGATCGACTGCAGCAGCGGAAGGATGTCGCGACGACGGGAAGTAAGCAGGCTTCCCCTCTGCCTCACTCAGTTACGCTGACGCGACATAAACGGGATCTCCAAATATCCCACGATTCGCCGTTTCACGATGAGGCTCTCCCGTTGAGAAATCCTTCGAAGGCTCCACTTCTATGAACCGCCTTACAGAGTCTCGACTCTTGAATCATACAACGATGATTACCGCACGGACACGAAGACAAAATCGCCGTCTGCGGTGCGGAGCAACGGACTAAGCAGGTGCTGGGGCACAAGGGCTGAAACTAGGGCGGGCTGAAGTTTGTGCAACTACCTTCACAAAAGGTTTGCCAGAAAGTCGAGTCCTGCCCAAATTGTCCCACAGACTAAGAAAAACATCTGAAACATTGCCCTGTCCGAACGATAATAATAGCCAATAGGACAAGCGCGCTCTCTGAGATATCTTTACGTTTTGCCGCTCTCGAGTTAGCCTTCCGCTTACGCTTCCAAAGTGGGCGTTTGCTGACCTGTCCCCTGCGCAAGCCCAATGATCGTCTGCGTTTACCCCTGACACTTGCCACGTCTGGACCGTACCCACGAAGTCCGTATCGAAGCGCCATAGTGCACGACAAACAAGTCACAAAGCGACATTGTTTGCCGCGCAAGATTAGATTGAAGCACCAAGGGTTTGAACGCAGGATAGTGGCACAGCCAGGCATCGCATTTCTCGCCCCCATCCAATGCACATGTGTAGACCCCCAGACTCCAAAACCCTGGCCTACGGTGACAGTCGCTGTGCCGGGTACGAAATGAAAGGATTCGAGCGGTCTACCAAGGGCTTGGTTGGGACGAAAATTTCGCTTGACAAGCTCTAGCTCCAGGCACAGGTAAATCTGCGGAGGACGGGGCCGTGGGCGGACGTGTAATGGCGCTCACGTTTAATTTCCTGGCCCATGTCAGCTGCACAGCGCCCGTTTCTTACTTAGCGTTACATTGTATAAATCTAGTTTATCCCCTCTGCCTTCCCATTCTACCCCAGGTCTGCGACTTCCAGGTATCGACATCCAGTCATTCACTCTCTACACAGTCAATCTTTGACACCACGTTCTCTACCGCCCTTCGGCACAAACACGCTCCCTTCGCATCCCTAAACAAAAAAACAAATCGACCGTCGAACCTTACCAGTCAATCCAAGTCCAGTCTCTATCACTCACCAATTTCAATCAACCGACATCTATCAAAATGCGTTCTGCCATCGCTCTCTCCGTCGCTGCCCTCGCGGGCTCTGCGCTCGCCGCTCCCTCCTACGGTGGTTACGGCAACCAGCACAAGCACGTCAAGAACGTCCACGTTGTCGTCGAGACCGTCGTCAAGACTGTCTACGTCACTGAGGGTTACGAAGTTCCCCAGCCCACCAAGTCTGTCAGCGCTGTCTACCAGGCCCCGGCCAAGCCCACCATGGTCTACGAGCCAGCCAAGCCCAGCAGCTCTGCCGTCTACGTAGCTCCTCCCCCAGCGCCCACCAGCGAGGCCCCCAAGCCTACCACCACCGAGGCTGCATACACTCCTGCCCCTGAGCCCACCAGCTACGAGGCTGCTCCTCCCGCTCCTTCCAGCGAGGCCCCCAAGCCAACTACCGCAGCTGCACCTGCCCCCTCAGCCCCCGCTACCGGTGGCTACATGGACATTGTCTCTGAGTGGCGCGCCAAGATGGGCATGAAGGCCCTTGAGTGCGACCCTAAGCTCGAGTCCAACGCCATGAACGTTGTCGTTGAGGGCAACGGTGTTATGAAGCACAAGCTCAACCCCGGAACCTACGGCCAGGTCCTCGCCCCCGGCAAGCCTGACATGGAGTCCTTCCTCTCCGTCTTCGTCGGTGGCTGGCTCTGCGAGATCCCCACTCTTCCCGGTCTTGACGGCGTCTGCAGCACCATGTCCAAGGGCTGGAGCTACGAGGGCCAGACCGGCCACGCTGAGATCCTCACTTCCGACAATTACTCCAAGATCGGATGCCAGAACCACGAGGGTATCTGGTGCTGCGATCTTGCATAAGCAAATCACAACACACGTTATGAGGGTATTTGAGGGGTTCAATTCTTCTACTGTAGATGACAGGGGCGGCTTGGAGATCAAACTCGCGGCGCATGGCTTTCGCGCTGGTTCGAAACATATTCACTTCTTTTGTATCGTATGGTACTAAACCTCTTTTTATCCCCTGTCCATTTTTTGGGATGCATCAGCGACTTTTTCTACTCTGTTGCCGAATTACAGATCCACGAATTCATGACCCCGACTCCCTTGCTTATTTGCCTGTCTCGTGTGACGACTCCAATCCCCATCACGTTTGACCCTGCGACGATCTCTCTTAACACTACTACTAACAATAAAACTCATCAGCGATCTTCACCGTCTTCGCACCCTCTCGTATCTCTACACGAGCTGAACGAACGCACAGGGGCCAAAGACAGAAGGTGACAGACGCGAGCAAGCAGGAACCCGGGCGGCTGCGGAGATGACCCCATACGGCGTAAGCACCAAGCACACTTCGTGTTCTGTACCTGCCAAGGGGGGGGGTGCGTTCCTGGGCTTGCACGCTGCCGCGCCGCTTCAATCACTCAACCGCGGAGCAGCGCCCCCCCAGTTCCAATAGCCCCATTCCAACAAATAGCTTTCAGCTAGGTATTGAATGTTACGCGCCATCGCCATCTGGCGGTGAAAAGGCGTCGCGATAGAGTTTCCCTTTATTCCAAAGCAAGGAGGCTGGCGTACCGAAAACCAGGTCGCACAAAGAAACGAAGAAACAAACACGTTCAGCGCCATCCGTCGCACGAGCAGCTGGACTTGCGACATGGGCCATTGCAGGCCGGGTGTTGGCTTCCCCCCAGCTTGGCTTTTCTTAGGCTAGGGCTGTGTTGTTAGACTGGGTTGTGTATGTTTGTACAGGGGTACAATTTGTCGTCGCTTGCACATCGTCATTTCGCGATTTGAACGGCATGTTTGTTGGGTTCGGTTATGTGTTCGGTGATTTGCGCTGGCGATCAGGATGTTCTAGAGGTGGCTGGACTTTTTGAGGCGTGCCGGTGGTTCATTTCGCGGGGTGTCTGGCTACGGCGTTGTTCCCGCAGGCATCAAGTGGGATTTCCGGCGGCGGTGCATGGGGTACGTAATGTTAGGTGATAAGGGAGGAGTGCCAAATCGAAGACGGGTCGCAACAACCTCTACCGTTATCTTTCTGTGTGTAACCATTGCGTAATTCATGGTAGTCCATGCACCGCCTTTCTAGGGTCGCTTGAGGTGATCGTGGAGGGCAAGGGCACCTGAGCGGTATCTTACGAGACAACGCTGTCGCACATTCAACTTCCATGTAATCATACTCCAATTTTGACATATCGCGCAGGCGACAAGGCCAAACAAAAGATGACCCTTCCGAGTGCTCCTACGCAAACGTACGCTGACCACTTGTGTGCACGCTCTACAGTGCGAGCCTCTCAGCTTCTCCAACTAAGTGTAATTATTAATCGCGAAACATGTATACAAATGAGACGTGTGGAATATCTGCAACATGCGAATCAGTATGTCATGCACATTGCGCCTTTATCCAGGTCCCTTCGCGTACACACAGAATCACATCTACATCAAAAGTGAACGAGCATCTCGCATGTTACGCATTGGCTCATTGGAGGCGACGATGATCCTCCTACGAACGACTTCCCAAAAGGGAGTGTCCTCTATCGCATACTTCGGCACCCTACGACCGAAGTGCAGATATAACGTTTACTGCTAGATCATTTTTGTAGCTTCGATCGCGTTTCATTCTCATTCCCCTTACTATCCGCTCATCATCTATCTCAAAAGGCGCTTGGAAACAGTGAACATCGCTCCATGAGGCCTCATTGTCTCTTTGTATGGAAATATCACTCTCTCTGATGCTGAATGGTACTACTTGGGTATCTGCTGATGCTGCGACATCACCTGCTATACTTGTAATTCGGTTCCTAAAATGATGGCGATGTAAGATGACGGTATTAAACACACATGTTGGTAATAAATGCATATACCGGTGCTGAATAAATGTGTCGGTATGATAAGAGTGTCAGCACTGAATGAATTTATCAGCAGGGAAAGATGTTGGTATTGAATAACATGATATCTTGGTGCTGAAGTTTTCGGCACTGAACGTCTTGGTAGAGAAAAGAGTTGGTACTGGAAGAGGTAAGAACCCGGACATGTCGATATGAGAACCTACTAACGTGCAGCGCTCGCCATACTGGGTATAGAGCGCACAATGCATCTACATAGTGAACATCAGAAGCACTTGTCTATATCCAACAGTGTTTTACAACCTCTCCTAAAACGAAAACACGCAACCACCTTTTTGTGATTTTTTTTTCCACCCCAGGACTGATGGTGATTGTATGTTGAGTTCTGTCGTTCTTTGCCCTCTCAGAAGCGGGGAGGCTACCTTGTTTGGGCACCCACCTGAGGCCGAGCGACACGTAACCTGCGTTTCGAAGCGTACGCATTTCGTTTTATATATTGCCGAGGGCCTACACACTTTCCCAAATGTGATCACCATTCGGCATACTGAATGACATACGTTCATTGTTCTAAATATAGATAGCCTCCCTTATGCCAACACCTTTTCTTCGCCCAAAGTCCCACCAATGAACGCCATGCTTAATTCAAAAGCCTGATACCAGAACGCTAATGTAGGAGGTATAAAAAAGACCAATCGCTCAGTAACGCCCCACAGACACTTCCCCAACAAAGCTTGGAAGTAGCTCGCCTTCTTCCGGCGGTGTATCTGGTGCTAGCCCTGCTTGTGTACTCGCTCGCCGTCCTATCAGACTGCCAGCAACGCTGACACTTCCACTCCTTCCACCATCGAGCCGCATCCTCTTGCTCCCTCTGTCCATTCCTTCGAGCTCTTCTCTCAGGTTTCCTACTTCCTCTTCTTTCTCTTTCCAGAGCGTAAGCACCGCTTGCCTCTCTTCATGTAACCTCGTCTCCTCAGCCTCCTTCTCTTTCTTGATAACGTCCAGTACAGCGTCCCGCCCTGCCTTCGCCGCAGCCTCGTCCTGCATGCTTGTGCCTGTTGAACAGCCTATGGCACCTAGTATGTCGCCCGCTGCTGACAGAATAGGCACGCCGCCGCCGAGTGTGGTGAAGCGTCCCATGATTGTGTTACCAATGCCAGAGGTTGCGCTGCCTGGCCAGGGTGTTTCTTGGTATGCCGAGGTGGGAATGCGATTGCCGGCGGCAGTGAAAGCCATGTCCATGGCAGTGTTGATAGACGTTATTTTCGCCGAGTCCATGCGTGTGAAGGCTAAGAGGTGCGTATGTGCGTCAACTACAGCAATGCTCCTGTTTTGGGATTAGCACAGGAGGTTCCATTGAGCCGCATTCTATACGTTTGGAGGGGAACTTACATGGGTACTCCGACTTCAAGTGCATGCTGCTCCGCGGCTTGTAGAGCCACTCGTGCTCCACTTTGCGTCAGTGTAGGCACAGCGGCGGTTGCTGATGCTGTTGGTGTCATGTTGAAATATGTATGTTCTAGTAACATGGAAAGTAAAGAGAAAGAGTACAAAGACAGGTAGTGATACAGGCGGCGAAGTTAGCCGCGGTCTCGTGCCTATGATTTAGTAGGTCCCAATGCTCGGATATGCGGATACACTACAGCGGATCCGACGTTCCTTTAGGCAGGCGACTCTTTCTAGGATGGGGACAAGTCACATTTAAGATAAGCTGGATACTATTGTCTCCTTCATTACATCCTGTCGTGTGTTGCGCGGATACACCAGACGGAAGTGGAGTAAAACGGCGACAAGGTCTCGTCTACCCCAGATTAAGGGTCCCAAAGATCCGTGCATCCGGTGTGGTATCTGAGACTTGTCAATTTTGTTCAAAGCGGACACGTGTGCCGTGGTGGAGCATCTTTTGTGGGCGGGTTAAGATGCCCAGATTAGGAAACCAATGTGCGATCTGGGCTGCGAACTGGATAGTCAAGCCCGATGACCACGCAAATGGCGTCAGGTGTGATGATCGGAACTCCTGTGGTGGAAGAAACATCGCAGGAAACGATTGAGCTATGCGGTCAGGAAGTTGATGCATGAAGAAGTGCTATTCAGGCGGTGTCGAGGCTTGACGAAGGATTACTGATCTAACTCCTGGTGGGGCCGCAAATTACGTTTCTGTTCCGGAACCATTGCACCTACTCGTAAACAAGCAGTAGGTCCATCTGTGATCGTGCGATTGGGGACGCTATGTCGTGTGCCGCTGCTGCTACAAAACATTTTAGTGCTGATGTTCGAGATACTCCGGGGTGGTCCCGAGGTCGCATGGCGTTTGAGCGCTAACCAACCATGGCGGGCCAAGCGGGATGCCGAGAGGTGGATTTCCTGTTGACGGGAGGCTGCTTAACGCATCTAACTACATGCCTATTGTGTCCACTTTCACTTTCACTTCAATGCATCGAAGTGAAGCATTGCGAAAAAGCCCAAGTGCTTGTTATCTCCGTATTCTTAAGTATCGGTGCGCGCTGTTTGGTACGCAGCGGACTTCTTGAGGAATATCGTCGCAGGCGATTTCCAACGTTATGCTCCGGCGCAGTGCTGCACCTTTCATTCTACGTGTCATCTGCAGTGATAGGTGGGGAGATTTGTGCGAGAAGAAGGAGGATACCAATCGTTCTATACAAGCTCCTGCCAGCTCAGAAGAGATATTGGTTACTCTGGCTTGCTTCTATTAATCTTGCGCCACAGTCTCGACGACAGGCACAACATGGGTTCCAGTTGCTACGCTATTGAGCTGCATGTCCATTTCTTGAAGTCATGGCGTTGCCAGTGAAGACCAAAGACATTGTTGAGTCGACTTCGCAGCCATTACGTTCGGTTAGCCTTTTCCTTTTTATCCATTGTCTATCAATTCTCCTATTGTGCGTCGTTTTGGTGTCTATGTCTACCGTTGCAATCTCAATATTTTTGCATTCACTTGCGTTGATCAATGCGCTTTGTCCGGTAAGCGAAGAACACCACCTTTGTTCGGTGACGTCCGCAAATGCTATACACCTGCCCAACTTTTGCGACATTGTCCCGACAACCACTCAATAACCAACGATACTGCCTCCAGCCTTACCATAGCTGGATCATGCTTTAGCGCACACGAATTTCCGCTCTGCATTTGCATACCGACTCGACGAAATGAGATATCGCACAATGGCGGACATCGGCCAGCTGTTGTTGCAAAACGAGCTGTTCATTGTGCTGGGCGCTACTGTTTTCGCCGCGCTTCCTGCTGTCAGCCCGTACTGGTTGCCTGTCAAATACCCTAATTCTGCTCCTAAACAGTTTCAATTCTCTTCTGGCGCTGCGATCGCAATCACCGTCACCCGGACCGCTACCATATTTTCAAAGCCCACGACGTTGACCGATAGGATTTACCAGACTATTATGCAGACGCAGACTGGAACACGCACAACCACGATTATAGCCACTGTTCCGAGAATAATCTACGACACGGTCACAGAACAGGTGACGTCAGTCTCAACATACTACGACCGACACTACCTCACGAAATGGACACACTTCTCAGTCGACCCAGCGATGCCGTGCACGACTGTGGTTGATAGTCCTGCTATCACGATGCAGAGTCCAAGTACTCCTGCATCGGAAGCGTACCCTCTGAACGTCGCACAACTGCCGAGAACAACACCTGGAATTACTTCATGGGTTCCATGGAAACTTGTGCTCGCGGTCTGGTTGCTTACGAATTTGTTTATGTGGGTTTGGTACCTAAAGACGGTTGACCCCACAGGAGAGGTGCAGAAGCCACAAGCGGAATACGAAATCATGAAAGGAAGCCGCCAGGACGTAAAAGACAAGTATGAGGCCCATCGGGCTGACCTTGTCAAAAGATATGAGGAAGCGGAGAAGGTTGTTGTGATGGTTCGCGCAAAAGATGTCATGCTCCAAAAACTTGGTGTTTCCATACCGAGTGACGAAGCTGACAACAAAGAGCTCGACAGAGAGACGCTCGCCAACATGGTGCAGGCCAGGATGAACGCCTTGTTCGAAGAGAAACAGCGGCTGGACCATCTAGAAACAGAGAACAAAGCTCAGACCGCGAAGATCGAAGAGCTCAAAGCGACTATTGCGACCCGGTTGAATACCGCCTATGTGCCAGGTGCGAGCCGTGCCTTCGATGAGTTACTCCGCAGCAAGCAACAGGAAATCAACAATCAGCGCAACATGCTCCACAATGGCAATGCCTCCGAGCATATCAAGGAGAACGACCGACTTCATCAGAAGAAAGATGCCGAGCTTAGTAAGCTACGACCTTTGCTTGAGGAAGTTGAGACCCTGAGACATGCTCCGACCGAAGCCAAAAGAGAAACTGCACTAGTTGAGGAACAGAAAAGGGCCAAGGGTATTGCAGATGAACGCCGCTGGAACGATAAGCGGGTCGATTTACGCAAGGAACAGAGTGATAAGATCTCTGCTTTGAAAGAGAAACATGACAACAAAGTCGCCGCTCTAGAGTCCGGCTTGGAGCAGAATGCCGAATTGGTCAACGCCCAAAAGGCTAAAATAGCCAATCTGGAAGCTGAGTTGCGCAAGACGAAGCGTTCGCAAGCATCATCTGACAAAACTTTGCACCAACAGTCAAGGAATAGCCGGGATGTTGATGAACTCATCAAGCAGGTCGCTGAACTGGAAGTGCAACTGAAGAAGGCCTAGCAGTCACAGTCGCCTGCCCGCCCAGATATCGAGGCACACAGGCAGCGCTTCAATGATTTAAACTCCGAGCAAGATATGTCCACGGAGAATGATGAATACCTTCGACGAAGTCTGGACAAGGCAGACCAAGAAAATAGGGAATTGGAGCAGAATTTCATGACCCTCGCAAAGCAGTACCGAGAGACCGTGGAAGAAATGGGGAGATTGAAGGATCAAAACGCAAACGACAAGAAGGATTGCGAGAAGGAAAAGAACCTACTGCGTCAACGAATCACTAAGCTTGAGGAAGCCTCAAGATAGCCGTGCAAATGGAGGGATCTCGATCATCTGCCGTACAGGTCTCACTACGAAGGACTTCCAATCTGAATCCACTGCTCCAGAAAGCGGTCCGAAAGCCAACGAGACTTTAGCAACGTCATGTATTTAAGATTTTGGCGCCGGCTCATTGCCCGCCAACAAATTGATTACATTTGCAAACGAATCTCGACACAAAGTCCCGCATGAGTGAGTTCTTTGACTGAAAGCCTGTCGAGTCCTTCCATCTTTTGTATCGATGTTGCGCATGTCTAGCTCATGCCCATGCGGTTGACTGTCGTAGTTGGCTGACATCCCGCTGGAGTGGGTCTGCTCCACAATAAACCCATGGAGTGAGTCCCAGGCAGGTGCGAACCAACAAGAAAACCTGGTTCGCATCTGATGCCGTTTGTTGCGATAATTCCAAGAGTATTCTCATTACATCATCACTCTAGGCTGACGAGGAGGCCTGCGATATCCTGATTACACAAACCTTCACATTGGTATACGCGCAGCATCGCCGTCCTTCAATCTACGGATCTTCCCAGAGAATGGGCATGGTTAATTGCGGCATATTTGCCTGTACCCGCTCATGAAGCCATTTTTGCTCATTGCTTGGGAGGTGAAGACGCTTACACCACATCTACAAGTGACCTGAGTGGCCAGTCAGCTTCAAACTCGACCACAAAAATCACGCGCCCCGCATCCCCAGCGTTCATTCTCACCTTGACCATAGCAGAACTTTCCTATTGCACCATCGGGTCTGCTAGCTTCAGCAGTCGGGTGTCCCATAAAGGGCCGTCCTCGTTTTCCCTTCCTCCTAATAACTCCAACACTCTTCTCTCACAATCCAAAGACTTCAAAAACTTCTACCAGTATCACCAAACACAAAACCAACACACCAGCAAGACTTCCAAGTACTCCAACCCACTTCAGTACTCACCAAATCATAAAAACGTCTCGCACATTACCACACACACTCAAAAAAGCTGCGGTACTCACCAACGTACACCAATCTTGCACATACGTCTCGCGCGTCATTGCACAACACCAAAATACTTCATACACCTATACATTACAAGATGTCTACCACTACCACTATGACTGCCATCTCTGCTCAAGCCAAGTCTGCATCAACTTCTGTCACCAAGGTCGAGAGGAAACTCCCTAAAATCGACAACGCCGTCACCAAACCTGACAAAGACGTCACCAATCTCCAAGAAAACCAGAACAACCTCAAGGCGACCATCGAGTCCCCTAACTTGGTCACCGCAGAAGCCGACCTACGACAAGCGTTATCCAAGATCCGCGTGCTCGAGTTCCGCATCAAGCAAGAGACCGAGGAGAAGTTGCGCTACCAGAAGAAGTTCACCGAAGTCAGCCGCGAGGCCTTGAGGTCCAAGAACGGGAACAAGTCACTCATCAAGACCGTTGCTGAGCAGAGTCTGGCAATCGAAAACATACGTTGCGACGTTCAAGAGTATATCGAAGAGTCGACTGCGAGTTACAAGAGGGCTGAAGCAGCAAACGATGCGCACACCGCAGAGCTTGAAGAGCTCCTCGAAGTCCAGCGTAACGACAAGTACGCCCAGGCAAACAAAACCCAGTGTGTGTCAACTTCGACGCTGTGGAGCAATTGAGTACCTTCTGGACGTTGTTTGGGGTTGTGTTTTGTTTGTTCGTCGCAGTGCGAGGGCCTCCCGGCGTACTTTTCGGGTTAGAGTTTTTGATTTTGGAACGACGCGACGACTTCCTCGCATCATGTTTAGGGCGGAGCTGTTTGGTTCACGAGTATGCGAACACCTTCTTGCGTACTCATAGTTTAGTTACAATACACAGTTGTTGACAATGTCTACTCCAAACCTCTCCAGCTCATCTTCCTAAGTTTAACCCCATAAAACCAAAGCCCTATCGGCATCACAATCCCCAATGTCATCGTCAAGAATGCTAATAGACTGTTTCCCCATCCCAAACCCAACGTTTCATACATTTGCGGCGCGAAAAGTGGAAAGCTAAAGCCACACATCGTCCTCATAAAGGCTCCTACACTGGCTGCAGATGCTGCGTAACGTGCTTCGTATGCGTCAGTGGTGTAAGCTTGCGAGCACTGGAAGCCGATGATCAGGCCGATGGCGAGGATGACGGCGCCGAGATTGGGGACGATGAAGTGAACTTCGTTCTGAGCACTCCAGCCGTAGATGAAGAGACCAATAGGGCAAACAACACCTGCTATGAGCATAGGCGGGACGCGGAACTCAGGTAGGCCTTCGGTGAGGTTGTAGTACGTTTTCATCCGAGCATACAACTACCCAGTGTTAGCGCTGTGCTTTCGTCATCATCAAAGAAGCTTGGAGGAAGGAAGACGTACCCCATCCATGAGGGGATGTGAAATCTGCAACCCGATCATGAAGCCCAAACAGAGTGATAGGTAATTGAGCGACGCATGCCCAGTATCCATATCGTACACATCCTCAAAGACCATCGGGAATGTTGAAAGCATTAGATACATAACACCGTACAGGAATGCGCGATATATCGAAGGTGCCTGGGTCGCAGGATGCGTGAACATCATGATGAACGGCAGAATGAGTCTTTTCCTCAATATCTTGCTCATGCGATCGCCGGTCTCGAACTCTGTTCGCACGACTACGTCGTCCCGTATGCCCTTCATCGCTTTCCTGACAGCTTTTGCCTTCTTGGCTAGGATGGCGGGGGCGAAGGTCTCGGAAAGGAAGAAGAGGGCGGTGAGCTGCACGAAGACGGTGAAGATGGAGGTTGCGAAGAAGATCCAACGCCAGCTTACGCCCTCAGATATGTAGGCGCCGCAGATGGGGGCTACACAGGGTGCCAGCCATGTCAGGATACCATAGATGGCCTGGCCTTTTCCACGTTCTTCTTTTGACCAGGTATCAGCGAGGACGCCACTACACAGCTATCATCTTATCAGCCCATGCCTTTCGCAATTTCTGGTGTCTTGTTGGAAAGTTGTTCGGAATCAAACGTACAGCTTGCGGCGCCGCTCCGCCTAGGCCGCTAAGAAACCGAAAAGCAAGCATCTGCTCCTTGGTCCGCGCAAACCCACAACACGTGTTAAAAAGCAGGTACACAAGATTGGCATACTGCAACACCGTAACACGTCCGAAGATCTCGCTTAAAGGCGCCAAGACGAAGGGTCCTTGAGCATAGCCAAGAAGGAAGATGGTCATGACCAATTGGCGCATGAAACCTTCTGGTATATCAAAGTCATCTCCAATACTTGGTAACGCAGGAGTCACCATAGTTGATGAGAAAGGCGAAATGAATGTAAAGAGCGACACGAGTATTGTAGCTACCCATTTGCGTTTGTTGCTCCAGTTGAGGGGGTTGCGAGGGTCGTTCGGGCCGTCCCAGGTGATCTATACGTCATGTTATTGGCAGTGTCATGAGAGACCCAAGACACCTACAACAATCTCTTCGCCTTTCCTAAGACCCTCCTCCATGATCTCGTGGCCAGCTTCGTAGCCTGAGTTTTCTTCTTGCTGCCACTGTCGGAACAGACGCTCGGTGCTGACGAGCGGATGATCGTCACCCTCGAACGAGAATTTCGGCAGCGCCAAGGACTCGCGTGCGCTCCTGTCGTCTACGGACGGTCTACCAAGTAACCTGTCTTTGAAATTCATAGTGAGTAACGAGTGTCGAAGCAGAACGAATGAGAAACGTGATGATAGCGAACGAGAGCTTGGTGGTACCTTTTCGTATTGCAGACGCAGATCGCCTGCATATAATTTCAAACCCTTTTTGCCAACTCCCACAAATTGAGGCAGTGTCAAAGAGGCGCTCACCAAGCGGAGGCTGTTCACGATGTGGGAAGCACTATGCGACCTAATGACCTCAAAGTACAGCATCAAACGTGTAGTGTGAATGCCACGCCCCAAGAAAAATGGACTTGAGATGCCGAGTTCCAGGTAGATAAGGCTGCGGTGAGACATATGCCGACGATGTATTCAAGAATAGAAACCTGTCGCGTGAGTGCATGGCAGCCACTACATCTAAGATCTATCGTGGCCAATAGCGATGCGGCGGATACTGCCACGAGATCGTAAGCTTTTTGTGGTGGAGATTGATCATCGATAACAGCCTTCTTTGTAGACGTCAGCTAGCTGGCTGTGCTCGGATATTCCTGCCAAGATAGGTACAACTTGGTTATCCGCTAGACCGCTTGGTGAAGACACGTACAATCGCCGCGATTGGCCCGAACCGAGCCCCTCAAGAAAAGTCAAGAACTTCCGATCTGCGGGATTATAACTAGTCAAGAAATCAAGAAAAGCCAACCATAAACTAAAGCTATACAGTTGGTAGTACGAATGCTAGCAGGGCTGTGCCGTTGTAGTCGTAATACCCGGCTATGCTGCGAGACCAGGAGCTTGGAAATGCGGACTTAATGTTTCACGAAGGTGTAGGTAGTTGTATCTTCAATGACGTTAATGCCATGGTCCTGAGGCTGGAAGCGTTACCTTTGGTGGCACTTCCAAGTGTGCACCGGAAATAGCTCTATGGGCTATGTCGTGTGTTGTCTATCGTGAAAGTGTGCAACTCCAGACGAGCAGAGTCTGGGTCGAAGATATAAGTATGTCGTATGTCCTTAGAGATATGGTATCCAATCACGCATACCCGGTTGACGCTCGCTCTACATCACCGCGCTCCCACCTTCGCTTTTCGATTTCATTATCATTTGATCGAGGTCCTATTCCATTAGCAATAGCCGTGGGTATACTACCCAACTTTACTCTCTTCGAACATCAAGCATGCTCGCCAGCGTACCAACAAGCATGGAGCTCGGTGTCCACGGTGCACCGACAGCATCGCCAACAATTCCACCCCGACTCCCGCGACTACTTTCGTTGAAGACGCTCAACTTGCCGCGACAACAAGTAGACGAGCTTGTGCACCCGGCATCGGCGGTACTGTCCACGCCAACATCCGAGATCTTGGGTGGGCATCCACTCAGGATTCTGGTCGCGCCGTCAGGGTTCAAAGAGAGTCTAGGTCCAGAGCACGTGGCCGATGCCATAGAGGCAGGAATCCGGACAGTGTTAGACGGCAATTCCGTCATTCTGCGCAAGCTCCCTCTGCACGATGGCGGAGAGGGCTTTGCTCGTGCTCTAGTAGCGGCTCATGGCGGATCCATTATCGATGTGCCAGTTACGGGCCCTACCGGATCATTGGTTGAATCGCACCTTGGTTTTATTGGCAAGGACAAGAAAACGGCTGTGTTGGACATGGCAGCAGCAGCAGGCCTTCGTTTAGTGCCAAAAGACGAGCGCGACCCAACGATAACCACGACTTACGGGGTTGGAGAGTTGATCAGAGAAGCGCTTGACGCAGGGTCCACAAAGATCATTATCGGGTGTGGAGACTCGGGAACCTCAGACGGAGGTGCGGGGATGCTCCAGGCTCTTGGTGTCCGGTTACTTGATGCAGAGGACGAGGAGTTGCCCAAGGCGGGCGGTGGTCGGTCGTTGGCACGCCTAGCCAGCATCTGCTGGGAAGGTGTACACCCCCGGTTGCGAGAGAGTGCTGGTAAGTCGCCCAGGCCCCATTCACATACCTGTTTTAACGCTATCCCAGTCGACAAGGTCCAGATAGAGGCCGTGTGCAACGTCAAGAACGTACTATGTGGTTCCAAAGGCGTCGCGCGAGTATACGGTCCGCAAAAAGGGGCCACGCCTGAACAGGTCGATATGCTTGCAGCATCGCTTGAGCGGCTGGCGCAAGTTGCTCAATTGACGCTTGGAGAGGACATCTCTCAGACCCCAGGCAGCGGTGCCAGCGGAGGTCTCGGAACCGGTTTGATGTTGTTGGGCGCTACTTTGCGCGCCCGGGCGGAAGCCATCAACGAGTACTTCGAATTCGATCGGGTTTTCGAAAACCAGTGGGATTTTGTCATTACCGCAGAGGGCGCTTTGGATTTTCAATCGCCGAATGGAAAGGTCAGTCAATCTCTTATTGTCGCTTCCTTTACACTTTGCTGACGACGACAGATGACGACTGAAATTGCTCGGCGTGCAAGGAGGAACGGTGCGCAGGTCGTTGCACTAGCCGGCACTATTGGAGAAGGGGCAGATGGCTGCTACGGCGCTGGCATCAAAGCCTTCACAAGTATTCTCAGGGAACCAATAACCTTGGAACAAGCGATCGGCCAGACAGAGGCATTGGTCAAGGACGGCGCCGAGAAGGTAATGCGCATGATTATGGTAGGGTTGGCTCTTGGACGGCGGCACCGCTGAAGAGGGCAGAGTCGCATGCACTGCCCTGAACAAGAGTTTTGGTGCCTTGGTACTGCCGCGATGGCGCGGTCCCTGGCAGTAAGGTTTGTCAATAGGTTCCTAGATTTAGCAAGCAAAGACAATGAAGTAATGATGATCACTGTGGTAAATGGTCGCAAGGTGAGGAGGTTGGTTAGAACGTGTAATACGTTTCACACCTGTTCAACGGGCAACTGTTCTTCACACTAGACTGGCGCTAACGTCATCGCTGCCCTGGACAACACCACCATTCGGACTCTGCTTGGAATAAGATTTTTTTTTTGCCACGAGTGCACGGCATAGACAGCTTCGATGAACAAAACACCTTTACCACTATTTACACACATTGCTGTTGAGCCAATGCTATATCCAATCCGCTGGACTTTTCAACCCTTTCTCCTTCTCTACCCCCTTCGTCTTCCTCGCCTTCTCATTAACACTCTCCATCTCAAATCCAGCAACCTTCTTGTATACCCTCCCAATTTCTTCCAACTCCTCCTTTGGAATAATATCATACACATTACTAAACCCATCTGGTGCTCTCTCCTCGGCAAGCTGCAAGACATGATCCGGGCCATTCGCTCGATTCGCCATAACAATCTTCGCGGTAGGCGGTAACCTCTCCAGCTCGTAGGCTTTCAGCGCTCCAGGGATATCTGAAAGGTTGTTGGATAGGTGCTTAGCGAGCGTTTCGGCGTCAATGATAGCTTGAGATGCGCCGTTTGACCCAATGGGGTACATGGCGTGTGCTGCGTCGCCCATGAGAGTAAGACGGCCGAACGACCAGGCTTCTACTGGGTCGCGATCAGACATAGGGAACTCGAAGACCTTTTCTGTGCTGTTGATCAAGTCCTTCATTTCCAGACCTCCGCATCTCCATGTCTCAAACGGTCCTGCGAACACATCTTTCTTAACAGCTTTGGTCCAGTCTGTCTTAGGAGGTGTTAGGTCAACATCGTCTTTATCACGTATCCGCAGTTCAGCGATCCAGTTTACAAGGCTTTTGCCTTTCTCGGCTGATCGTTGGCTGATGGGGTAGGCAATGAATTTTTGGTCGGCGTGACCTGCCCACACCATGCTTGCGCCTGTCAAGTACTGCTCACGCTCGATGCATCCGCGCCAAAGCATGCGCCCTGAAAAGCGTGGCGGTCCTTCGCCAGGGTAGAGAAGCCTTCTTGCTGTGGAATTGATCCCATCAGCAGCAATCAGAACATCGCCCGTTACGCTCGACTCTTCTGCTGGGACACCGTCCCTTCTGTGCGAAAAACGTGCTGTGACGCTTTCATCATTTTGATCAAAGGCCGCCAGGGCATGGTTCAGATGTAGAACGTCCTTGCCAAGGCGTTCCTTCACGGCGCTCAACAGCAACATCTGAAACTCTCCGCGATGAATCGAGAATTGAGGTACCTCATACCCTGCATCCATCCCTCTAGGCTCGCTCAGGATGGGATCGCCATGGCGGTTGTAAAAGTTCAGCTCTTTCGTCTTGATGCCCGTCTTCTCTAATGCTTCAAGCAAGCCCAGATTCCGCAGGATCAAAACTGCGGATGGCTGAACATTGATACCAACACCGAGTGTCGTGAGCGTCGACGCTGTCTCGAAAATCTGAATGTCGCTGAAGCCGGCGGCATGGAGCGCTAGCGCAGTAGTCAAACCTCCGATACCGGCTCCGGCGATGAGGATCTTTGGCTGCGTGTCGGAGTGCAGGAACGGCATTCTGGGAAACACTTTTGTAAAGTAGATATATGGTCGAAGAGAAGAGAGTCTTGCAATCGCATGGCTGATGAGCAATATTCACTACGAAGTCGGTCCTACTCCCCCGCGTTTGTGGAGAAATTACGTTAGAAGAGCTGCTGAACATACTGCCGACTCTAGCTACCGCGATACCCAGTATTTTCCCTCGTCCCGTAACAACCTTAGCCTCATCTCCGGTATTTGCATTGATTTCGCGTACTCTTCGTGTGGAGTGTGGGGAAAAGAAAGCATCTAATGGACTAGTCGTCTGTGCCATGGCCGAAATCGGTTGGTCGGTGGATCGTCCTCGAGGGCCTCGCAACACTCCAGCACACCATTAGAAGATGTATTGAGCTTCGCCATCGGATGAATAGCCTTGATCATTCGAAGAAATGTAGTTGCAACAAGAAATGGAGTTCAGAAAATGTAAGGTCGTAGAGACATTTAAGTATTAATTTAGTACTATCCAGACAATATGGCCGTCTTCTTCATGTTAGCATGACATTGTGTTTATTTGACATCACAACCCTTATTTTCGGCCAACTCACTCCGACTAAGGAGCGTAATCTTCATTGCCATCTTTGTCGTACCTGACGTATCTAACCCTGTCCATGCCATGTGTAGCACGAAGGTGGCCTAAAGAGAAGTAATAAGTTAGTATAGCCCAGGTGCTCTCTCATGTCGATGATGCTCACAATTCTCGGGGAATGAACAATATCCTTGATCACGCTCAAGAGCGCACTGGTGGCCAAGATCTGAAGCCGTAGTGTCAGCGTCACTGCAAATCTACATTGAGGTGGCGGCAATGGTGGTAGGCTCTTGAATCCTCTTTAGCCAATATGTACTTACAACAGTCGATATTCTCACAGTAACGGTTCTTACAAGCCAAGCTACGCGTTTTGTAGCGTAAAGCGTTTAGTTCAGCAGGTGTAAGCTTCGGCTCATGCTGGAAATGACAGAACTTTCCGTTCTCGCAATGACTCCCGAGATGCCAGTGGTTACACATCTTCTTGCCCACTTTCTTCATGCGTGCTTCAAGCGAAGCTGCAGCGGCGGGATCTTTCGGTGGCAGTGGATCATCAAGCCTTTGCCCGGCTTTGTTGTAATAAGCATACTTCTTCTTAGTGTCTTTCTTAGTAGTGGGTGTAGTCGCTGCGATGGAAATGTTGCCGTTTTCAGGAGCACCGGTTCTTCCCACAGTGGCTGAAGTCCTTTAGTTAGCCATGCCTCAAATCAGTCCTGATATGAGTAGTCTCGGTTACTTACCCCATGAAGAATCTCCGTTCGACTCACTAGCTGTAGCGGCTGACACCGGGGTGACGCTAGGCGAGGGGGACGCCACTTGGGCACTCGGGGCGAACGTGGGCGACGTCTTGGTGTTGTTTATAACGGAACGAGAGAGAACTTGCGGTTGTGCTACGGACTGTACCGGTGACTGAACGGCCAATTGACCAAAACCGTTAGTCGGAGGTATATAATCGGGCAGGGGCTCGTTTTTGAAAACGTCGTCAAAACGAGTGCGTTTGAAGTTGGTTAAATCTGTGAAACCACGGTATACGGGTGTGGTCTCAAGAAGTGTGATCCGACCAGCTTTGGCGGTATTGTGTTTGAAGTGTTCGAGATTTAGGAGGTATCCTGCATCATGACAACCGCCGAAGATGATGTGACGGCAGGTGGGATTGTCGCTAAAGGTACGAAGCATTTCTGCAGACTATATGTTAGCGTTAGTCACTAATATCCAGGAGAATTCCAGTACCCTTGATCTTGTGGTCGGCCCTCTCCTTTCCGTGGCCAACGTCGATAATACTAAATAAGGGCTGATTGACGCTGAAGCGCTGTGCGAAAGCTCGCAATTCCTGCGGACTTCGAAGAAGGCCAACTGACGCCAACTTCTGTGCGAGCTTATCGAGACTGAGATAGACCTGAACCATGATCGGCCAGTTTCCGGAGTTATTGTAGAGCGAAGCAATATGATCGCGAATTGCGTGATACAAACGGGATGCGGCTTCTGAACCTCCATCACCACCAGCAGCTTGAAGTAACGCATCTTGAAACTGAAAATACATAGTCAGCAAGCAGACTCCTAGACGGGTCGTCTCAGCGACCATATCGTATATACGTTGTCGAACATACGTGGGCGAACATCGATATACAGTTGCCGATGGACAGCTACAAGATCCAGACTTCAGAGCTCGGAAGTACTTACGATAGCTCCATCTCCATCAATAAGTGCCAATACAAATGAACTCGCTTCCTGTAGCCTCGATCAGCACGCAGATTCGCAGGGCTGAGTTTCCAGCGAGTAACGCACGAGCTGACGTTCGTAATCCCCCACCAAACCCTGTTTCTCTTCAACAGTTCTTTGATAATTCCGTCTGATATCTCTTTCACTCAAATAATCATTCTTCAAGTTGCCGTGCTCTTCGGATAAGGCTTGATACTTTGCTAGAATCTCCTGTCACTTTATTAGTATCTGTCGCGCGGTCGAACACGCAACTCAGCGACGCATACGCTAACGAATTGCTCTCTGGCCTCATCGGATGCGCGGAAAGCTTGCATCTGATGGACGAATCTCTCGTAGTCATTGTAATTCGACATAATGGTGGCGAACCTGGTATTGTGAACGAGATGTTGTTCTACCGTGGTTCAATGTGGGTAGGGTGAGCTGAAGGCAGCACTCCTAGGCGATGGGTTTAGCGTGGAAGAGGGCCTCGGCGGGAAGTCTAGACCGAAAGGGTATAGGGCGGGCAATCACATCCACCCGAGTATGGATCGAAACACCTCAGTACACTGCGATCTAACGGGATTGAAATCGAGATAGCATTTGCATGAGAAGGAGGGGTCTTGAAGCGTCGGGATATTTCTACAGATTTTGCATGTATGTTGTTGGCAGATATGTAGTAAACGTGTTGTTTCCCAACAGGGCGCAGCTCTTTTCGTGCATGAGCTGCAACGGTGGGCCATGGGAGGCACAGGCGAGCGTATCGCCGTCTGCCCTCTTTTGTAACACAAAGCATTATTGACAGCACACAGCCCGATGGCACGGTGGGGGAAGAAGGCTCTAGAGCTTATAAACTGATTGCAGGCCTGCCTCTCACACAATTGGGTAACATTGGGGCAGCGAATAGCTAAGATGTTGGTGGAACATCCTCGAGACAGATCAGATGCTAAGGGTGCGTCAAGATGCCTAACACCCTAGGCAATATGACCGTCTCCAGCCACCAGCGCCACATAATGAGCGATCATATACCATTATAGTAGAGTTTTCACTTGTGGATGCCTCATAACAGTCGTGTGTATGAGATCAGTTGATGTATACTCATTAAACGAAGACTGAACATTCGATCTTCCGGAAGTTGTTTCGAGACTCTAACAAGACACCAACAATGAAAATCCCGCGAACAATTCGACCTATCTAGGTGAATAGCTGAGTATGGCTCCGAAGCTCACTATGGCCGGTTGAAGCGGGTTAAAACTACGCGTAGAGCGAGTGTGAGGGCTATGTAGCGACCGAAATCTAGACACCGTACACGAGTGCAAGTAGCAAGAGCGTGTATCAAGGGACTAAAGTGTATTGGTTCCGTTTATATAGATAGTTTGAAATGAGGTGAGTCATATTGGATATGGAGGGCGTTCGCGACGCGTAGCAGAAGGGAACCTGGCGCGTACGATCTTCGCATTGCTCGGTCTCGGTGCAATTCCGCGTCTGATGTCAGCATAAACGATGCCCTTGAACCAACCCCAACCCCACAATGACGCCAAACAATCTGCATTGAGGGGTGCCTCCAGCGGCAATGTCACGTAAACCTGACATGGAGCTCATTTCCCTTCCTTATAAACGCATGCTAAGGCAGCAATTGCAACTGCATGCTTCGCACTTTCTTCCGACCACTGCGCACCTTTCATAGCTTCCAACAGCTATCTAGACATCACAATCAAAGCCCGATTGCGCTTCGATACTATACTACCACCATGTCTGCGAATAAGAAGGCGCGTACTCAGCCTCCGTACGAGTTGCTGTACTGGCCTGGCATTCCAGGACGTGGAGAGTTTATTCGTCTGGCGTTCGAAGCAGCAGGCGTCTCCTACAAAGATGTCGCCAACGAAGCCGAGGATGGTATGCATACACCCGTTTTCCCTTCATCATTCTCGTACCGCAAGGAATGCAGCCAACATGTCATCTAGGCATGAAAGTCGTCGCAAGTCTCACCGATCAAAGCTCCACAGGCTCCGACGGTAATCCTCCCACCTTCGCACCACCCGCCCTGCGCATCCCCGGCGAAGGCAAGAATGGCGCTGCGCTGTTGATCTACCAAACACCCTCCATTCTCTCCTACCTCGGAGATAAGCTCGGTCTCAGTGGCGCAGACGAGGCAGAGAAGTCGTGGATCCTGTCGCATACGCTGACGGCGCTGGACCTCAACAATGAAGCCCACGATACACACCACCCCGTTGCGGTTGCGAAATACTACGAGGACCAGAAGGAGGAATCGTTGAAGAAGGCAACGGATTTCCGCGAGAACCGCATCCCTAAGTTCCTGGGCTACTTCGAGCGCGTGCTCAAGGGCAACGAGGCGCAAGGACAAGGCAAGTTCCTTGTCGGGGGTAGTCTGAGCTATGCCGATACTACACTCTGGCATGTGCTGAGTGGATTGGAGTTTGCATTCCCAAAGGAAATGGAGGCAAGGAAGAAGGACTACCCGCTCTTATTTGAAAGCTTCTATAACAGTGTCAAAGAGACCAAAGGAATCAAAGAATACCTAGGTAGCGAGAGGCGAAAGCCGTTTAGCATGGGTATCTTCAGGCATTACCCTGAGCTGGACAGGCAGTAGACGGTTGGTCAAAGCAAAGGCACCATCACAGTAAAAGAAATCAATTGCAAGTGGTATCTTGAAGGGGTGCCTAATACAGGCTCATGTCATCTCATTCTCATTCCTTTTTGATGCCGGTACATGACGCATAACCGAAGCCCTGCCGTACTCCTGACCCATATAGATATAACGAGATCGATCAAACCCAACGAACCCGCCTACATCTAGTAGTCGGTCTGCTGGCTCTGGGGGAACTCGAAGTTGACACCCTTGCCAGTGAGGCGCTTGTAGACCTCGCTGTAGGTGTCGAGCCTGTAGTCAACACCACCACGCTCCTTCTCGTCAAGGACAACCTTGAGGATCTTGCTGCCGTCCTCACGGGTACGGAGACGCTTGCCGACAATCTCGACGGGGAAGACGAGGTCGGTCAGGATGGCGTCGTGGACAGCAGTGAGAGTCCGGGATTGGGGACGCTTCTGGGTCTGGTTGGTGCGCGAGCGGTTGGAGCGCTTAGGGCGGGGGAGAATGCGGCGGGAAGCAACGATCAGGACGTGGCGGTCGGAGAACTTCTTCTCGAGCTCACGGGTGAGACTAGGAGTCGTTAGTATAGACGTTCTTCCGATTCAAGAGTGATACATACCGCTGCTGGGCCTTGTGCCATCCGGACAGAAGAGGAACAGGGACGAAGATGACAATAGCCTTGCGTCCGTGGCCAACCTCGATCTAAGAATCCTGGTGTCAGCTTGATGTTGCTGCCCAGTGCCCACCGCCTCTTCAATTCATGGGTATGGGTATGGGTGTAGGTGTAGGTGTAGGTGTGTGTAGGCGACGCTCGATAGCGCATTGTGGTGTTCGGGTTTTCATACCTCGCGAGCAGAGACGAACTGGAGAGGGCGCAGAGAAGCCTTCAGGTCGGGGACATTGTTCTCGAGGTCAGTCAACGCCTATCACAGGTGTTAGTGCTGTGGTCGCCATTGTGCGATTGACGGCAAGACTTGCGCTGGCGATGCTGGTCTCGATCTCAGAGGGGTTCTGCCTCGACGGGCTGTTGGGCGCGATCTTGTTCAGAGAGTTGGCGGACATTTTGGCGGCTTGATGTCGAGCTGGTCGGAGTCTGAAAGTTCGAGGTGTTGCTCGATCGCAAGAAATCACCCACGCCAGGTGCGCTTCAAGCGAGGCGCTAGTCTATTTTGGTACCTTAGCGTGAGCGTTGGGAACGCGCGATGGAGTCGACACCAACACGACCCATCACTGACATTCCGAAATGAATCCTGTCTCATCTGCTTCGTGGTTGACGACCATACTGCGAATGCACAGTCGCTCGATCACCTGTTTATCTCCAAGTGGATGATTCTCTGTACAAAAAAGAAGGGCGGCCATCCAGGACAGCAGCCAACAGAAAGTACCTACCCTGCCACCTCTTGGGCTTACGAACAGAACAAACCAACTCTTGATCGAATGAGTAGCTCTGTAGATGCTGTGTAAATGGTTGTGTATCACGATGAACTTCACCGACCCATCTTCATTTCAAGGGGCATCGTTCATTGTCCTGACGCAACAAACCTACAACACAGAAATGCCTAACCATTTCAAGCCTTTTCCTTTGTCTTTATAAACTAGGTCTTAGACTCAGTACTCCTCCAGTGCATCTTCGCAATACGCTTGCTTTACAATCTGATCTCGGATCTCCTTCATAGCTTCCCAGCGTTTCGCTGCCTCTTTCTTGCCCGTACGAGTCTTCATCATCTCTGAGTATCTAGTATGACGCTCGTCCACTATATGTACAGCTTGTCGAATCGTACCAGTACCACGTGGCTCTTGTACAGCTCCGTACACTGCCCCACGTATGACACCCAATGCACCCAAGCCATCGAGACGATCGGCATCCTGAACAATTTGGAGTGCAGGATAAGCTGCGCATTGCTGGGCGATGAACACAGGGTTTCGAAGCTCGCGTGTGAAGGAGATCAGCGACACGACGTGCGAAGCAGGGCCCCAGATGTATGGTGGACATTCAGGTGAAGCCTTCCTGATGAACGCCTCGATAGAATCTCGCTGTTGCGCCTGTTTGGCGTCGTCGGTCTCCATCTTAACCAGCTCGTCTGAAATATACTTCTCATCTCCGACATCATGCACCATAGCCGCAACGAAGATGACCAGAGGATCGGCGTTCCGGAATACTTCGCGATCCTTCTCCACGAGCCAGAGGCGGTGCGCGTTGATGACTACACGCTGTATGTGCTCGTAGTCGTGGGAAGGGTCGTAGTCCGAAGAGTTCATCATAGTGCGGACGGCGATATTGATCTTCTCGAACCAACGCCTATCCTTGTCAGCTATGACAGTACCGCCCATCAGCTTGTCAAGAGAAATAAGCCTCGTGTCGCGTTCATCGTTTCGACGCTTGGGATTGTTTCTGATTGAGTTCAATGATGACGAGCCGTGGGAAGAAGGAAGTTGGTCTGCGATTGAGGACATTGTCTCGTAGGGCGATTTGGACGTCTTCGACGACTTTACGAAGCTGGACATACGATGGTGGATGCTCTCGAAGACTTGGTCTGCCTTGTTGGTCTTGGTCTTGTCTTGAGATATGATGGTTGGATGGGGTTTAATGGTTTGTATTGGTGAGGAGCGTAGATATTGAGGCTCTGTCTGGATCCTTGATAGAGTTGATTGCAGCTGATAATGAGAAGTTGGAACTGCTTGTGATTAGGGAGAGAAAAACATTAGAGGTAGATGAGATTTTATCGTGAGGAGGCAGAGTTCGACCGTGCGCCCAGGAGAGAGGCTGCAGTGTACTTTCACTCTTCATTGCAGCCCCTACATCACAAACTCCTACTTGACGAGTCAATCATGCTCTGTTGCCTTGGCGACTGGTGTTGTAAAGAGGTGAATAGGTCTTGCGAGATGTTCTTTACCAAATTCAAGGTAGCCACGAGGTATTGGAACGTGCTAATTCGCTGCTGTTTTTGAAGTACCATATCTCACTGCTGGTAATTAATACAGTTTCAGATATGATATGTTTAATGATTGATATGGTTCCGCAGCCAACTACTTGGCTAGACGACATTGACAAGTACTAAACAGACTTGACTTGCTGTGCTTGCAAAAGCTTGAAAGAAGACAAGCAACAATTTGTGTGGAAGACTCAAGTCTGCATTTCAGATTGTCTTGATGTATGTATTATTACTTCGCAAAGGCGTATGCTGGTTACTATACAAACTAATAATTACAGAATAACAACAAAAAGGAACCCCCAAATAACTCCATGCTAGACAGGATACACATAGTAGTTCGTAAGCGGAGAAGGGTTCGAGCAAACTTGCTAATGAACCATCTCGGCGATATCTGCTAGTGTGACTCGAGCACAGTATAAAGACCGGTAACAGCTCCTACAAGATTTGTGTCGAACCGCCCTCGAACGACGCAGATATAGCATCGACCGGTCGTGATCAGAGATACGATAACGCTTAGACGCGGGAACCACGACTGCAATGCTGTTAGCCAGACCCGCTACTAAAGGATGGCGAAGAACTTACGCAGTAGCACGGCGGTTAAGACGGTGTACAGTTAAGATGCCCAGGATAGCAGTAGCCAACCAAAGGATCATAGACAGGAAGGAGAAAGCCTGAGCAGCGCGCCATTGCCCACATGAGTTGTTGCGGCTGAAGGATACACCGCTCCAAGCCCAAGCACTACCACATCCGGCGCCGTTAAACCAGCTGACAAGAAGCCCGAAGACAGCGGCCCAGCCGGCAGTGAAGACTACGCAATCGTTGTTAGTAGACATTCGGGTCGTGACAAAGGACTGGGGTGCTCACTGAAGTCGGATGTGTACCCAGTAATGCTGGAGCTTGTAGGGATGGCCCAAATAACAGCGAACAGGATGGAGAGCGAGGACCAGATCAGAGTGAAGATCAATCGACCTAGAGGTCCCACATGGTATCGTGAACGTTGGTAAACGAAGTATGCTGATAAACCGAGGACTATGGCAGCGAAAACCCATTGCGCAGTGCGCAGGATGAGTGAAAGAAGACGTGTGAAGAGCATGCTGGTAGCAGGTGGGTATCAGAAGTAACAATCAAAATGTTTGTTGAGGGGGTGGAGTAATATTGGTAAGAAGTGGTAGTTAAAGTGCTGCTCTGTGTTGATGGTATGTAATGACCTTGTCACAATATATATACATCTTGCACGCACGACTGTGCCTTGCTTGGTCAAGGAGAACAACAAAAAAACGTCAGCCACGCCTATTGCGTAGCATTCTTGGCATCTAAGAGCAGCCGACAGTCACACAAACGTAGGGTTTGACCTTCCTGGGCCTCGTCAGCCACGCATCTACCCTGTCTCTGAACAGTGTGGCTAGTGTAGTGGAGCCGCATAGCCGTGCAGATCACTGGGTTTTAGCGCACTCGCTTGGGTATGAGATCATTGGGCCTTGGTAATCCCTGCCAGGACGCGTGGCGCATGCAAGTGTGGCGCTGCCATTTGACGACACGGTGGATATTAAAAGCAGGAACCTGCTATCGTGATTGCCGATATCCGCAAAGTTTTGGTGTTTTCTTGACTACTGAACGTCTAGATCGGGAACGATGATGTACTGGTTCCTGAGCGTTGGAACGACAGCGGGTTATCTAAAACGAGCACAGGGTAGGCCCAAATGAAGTGCAATAACGGGCGATGTAACTGCGCACTTTTAGGATTTGGTTTGCGCGGTCGCTGCTACCCCTCACTGTAACTCGTGAAGAGACGTAAAAGCACAAAGCAAGCAATATCAAGTCTTTCATGTAACGACCACGTAATCACCCAGTATCTCGGGAACAGGCGCATGACAGAGCCAGTTACCGTCGGAGTTGTAAAAACTGGACAGAAGAATGACCATGGACATCGGAGGAACCCCTGACTCCCAAGGTTGTTGTTCTCCATCCAGTCGTACGTTACGTAGGGCTGCGCTAGGACTAAGCCACCGAATTACGCATGGTTTGGCCGAAGTGAACTCCAGGATCTCCGACTGAGTACATGTCTCGACTTGGACAGAAGTGGCCAGTTTGTTGCATCGCAGAATACACGTCACAAAAAAACGAATAAATGCCGAGCACTCTCATGTAGACGGCTTACGGTATTCCTTATTCGAGGCCGCATAATGCAGTAGCTCCGCAGACAGCATGTACATGATAAGACGATCGCATGAGCTGGCAAGTTTGGGGAAATGCCGTCTGGTAGTCTCAGGCCAGTATGAACATTGATTGGTTGTAGTATTGAACAACGGAAGGCGTCATGGAGGGTCATAGTCTGGAGTATTTGGCTATTGATGCCCGTTCCTTTTTCTGAGCGAACACACGCCAGTCTAGCGTGATAGCTCTACGACGCGCCTTCTTATGCTCCTCCAATACTATATCGTTACATGTGATCACTAAACGCTCACATGCTTGATGCTTTGAGCAATCAAGAATTAACAACATCAGATATTTGTTAAGACTATGGTCACACTCTTAGTCGAACGCCATTTAAGTCTAAGCCCACGAGGCTGAGATGCAGCCTTGCACCAAATGCGCTTATGAACCCTGTCCAGTGCCGCGGGGTCAAACTCATAACTCCAGGGCCGATACCTCTCTCCAACCAGCTTCCGAAATGTCGAACACTAATCGGCCTGCGTGCCTTGCTCTCCGCCAAATCAGGCAGAAGGAGATGAGCTGGGCGACTAGCGCATCACTTGGCGACTCGGCCCAATGTGAATGTCGCTACTGTAATGCTTTATGTGAAAATAAACCAGAGTGGGCTAACTCGGATTGGGTGGAAGTTCACTTGTTAAAAACATCGTTAAGGGCAACCTATTGCCAGCATTATCCTAGAGGTATTCGTAAGGAGATCAAAGACTTCATTGGTGTAAGCAGTAAGTTCACAGGGACCGAAGTTGATAGCTTTCTTGGTAGCGCAGCTCAAGAAGATCCCATTATTCCTATGTTGATATGGGCATCAGGCAACACAGGCTTGGAACAGGGTCTTGAGACGATCAGGAGTTGGCTTGATAAATGTCTGACAACACATAAGAGCTTCTGCTTGGCACCACATGGCGAAGATGGCACCTCTGAACTACCTGATCGAGTGATTGAAGTGAACTTCGATACGCCACGTCTAATTCGTCTAATGGATACAGGGGATGAAAAAGGACGATATGCATGTCTGAGCCATTGTTGGGGCGGCCAGCAGCCTTTGCAGACGACTCGAAAGCCAGATACTTTATCAACGCATCAGCAGAATACCCAATACGAGACTCTACCGAAGACATTCCAAGATGCTATGAAGATCATTACCAAACTTCGAATCAAATACATCTGGATAGACTCGTCATGTGTACGCTATTTTGACCTGTGCTCCACGGAACATCTATTTACTTTGTTATTTACAGATCATCCAAAACGATGAAAAGAACTGCCAGATTCAATCGGCTCAGATGGCCAGGATCTACGTCAATCCTACAATAACACTTGCAGCTTCAGTATCCACAAGCGCACAAGAGGGTCTTTTCCGATCCGCAGATTTTGAAAAGTTTGGTCAGCCTCTCTCCACCCCTTGCGACATTCATGTGCGAAAGCCGCTGAGACACAGGGCAACGGACCTACCCCTTCTCGGGCGAGGCTGGGTCTTCCAGGAACGTCTTCTAAGTCCTCGAATCCTTCACTTTGGGCACGATGAACTTATGTGGGGATGCATGGAATTTACAAGCTGCGAGTGTGGAGGAATGGAGGAGGAGCATTCAGCATTCCGAGAATCATGGTTGGCCTTGAAGGATGCCTCCCATCTGATTCACAGGCGCTTATTCAAAAAAAGACCGCTGGGAGTTATGCAAGATTTGGTCAACCCTTGTTGAGGAGTACTCGCGCCTGAAGCTGTCAAAGCCAAGCGACATCTTCCCAGCGATCTCGGGTATCGCTAAGAGTTTTGGAGAAGCTATCGGATGGAAGTATTGTGCAGGCATGTGGAAAGAAACTATGATACATGAACTCTTGTGGTACGTACAGATGCCGGCTACCTGGTGTGTACCTTGGCGGGCACCGATATTCTCATGGGCATCTGTCACAACCACCTTTGGTATCCATCACGATGACTACAATGACTGCAACATGTTAGCAACTGTCATAAGAGTCAGGTGCTGTCCAACAGGCGACGATCCCATAGGGCTGTTGAAGAGTGGATGGATCATCTTGTCAGGAACTCTAATACACGCAATCTTCCGTCATCCATGTCTAAATTTTAGACATGGTATCAAAACTTTGCCATCCAATGGAGGGAGGGTATTTTGGTTTCGCTTCATGGGGGATTTCGACCTCAAACAGCCAGGTCATGAAGTGAACGACGGCGAAACGGTGTTTTGTCTGGAGGTAGTTGAGAAGGAAAGATCTGGAGACTATAAGGCGGCATACCTAGTTTTGTCGAAAAAAGTTCACGCAATCATGGGAGTTGGGCGGCACGAGGAGCGACTGCGAGTTTGAGAGAATAGGCCTCTTGAAGGATGACCACTTCCAGAACCAAAATAAGGGCATGCGGTTTGCGAAAACATCACCATAGCATGCCATCGAGCACAACGCTATAGTCAAGGTTATCTGATCTTTCCATGACGGGAAGACCTAATACCGAGCACGTTGAACTGAACGGCACGACGAAAGAGCTGTACTGGAAGTTGAAACGTATCACGAAGAGCGATAAAGCATTGAGATACAAATGATAAGTAGCTAAGGGATTGGCCCTGTTCTTCAAAGTACGAATCTGGATCTTTGCTGTACCAGACCTCGCCTTGGAAATTAAACGCCATAACACCATGCCGGATGCGATGCAATGCAAACCTCCTCTTCCGTACACGATTTTCCTTATTCAATGCATCATCAACACCATCCACGTCCCTGCGTCTTTGTGTGCCATCACCCATACCGATCTACTTCCTCCAATCTCATGCCCTTTATCCATTCCACCTTTTCCCTCCTCCTCTTCCCATGCTCTATCAACCCAACCACACCCACCAAAACAGCAATATAACCGCAGCAAAGAACCCAACCCAAACCTTCCACCCGACACCCGTCTTCTGCGCCATCCTCAACATACGATTCATAGTGCCCTTGATCTTGTGTCTCGAGTTCTCAAACTGATCGTTCATCTTCTCGGCGAGGGTGGTGGAATCTCGGATTTCGTCTCCGATAAGATGGGTCAACTAAGTAGATGTTAGCAACAACTTTCCACGAGGAGTGAAAAAGCGCATAAAGAAACAGGAGGAAGAAAAAAGGGCGAAGAAAACGTACATCCTTCAACATCTTAACCTTGCTGGTCAAAACCCCAACATGCTCATCATTCTGACTCTCCAACTCATCCAACACAGCCGCAGAATACTGTCCTCTTGAATTCGGTGTCGCAGCCCGATATATGCCATCTCTTCCGTCATCACTCCCCCTTCCACTTCCTCCTCCTACACCATACCCCCCATAACCACCTCCTCCATTCCCAGGATACAGACTCCCATTCGCCTTAGTTCCACTCGCACCAGGATACGCGCCAAAGCCTGGCCCGTCGGCAGAAGAAGGTGGTGTGTAGCCGTAGCCAGAGCCAGCATTGTAAGGGCTTGCGCGAGCTTTGTTTTTTGATTTCGAGGGCGAGGCGCTGCGGTTGTACGAGGAGAAGAGGTCGTCGCGCGCGTCGGCGCGGCTGCTGAATCTACTTGACATATGTGCAATGTGTGATGTGCTATGTTGTGGATATCCTGTTCTTGCTCTCCCCTTTTTTTTGGGTTCAGGGTTGAGGATTCGAAGTTCGAGGTTCGAGGTCGCGTTCCGTGGTTGAGGCTTAGGGCGGTGCGCGCAGGTCTGGAGATACGTGGTCGATTTGCGAATCCGGGGTAATGCGCTTATACGGGAGCCTAGTCGTGCTCTGGGGGGTGGATAATATGTGGAGGGTTGCCGGACACTTTTCGCGAGTAAGAAGTTGCCCGGAGGTTAGAAGATGTTGGGTGGTGCTAACGCCGGGTTCGCGACTAGGAACACGTTGTCGGAATGGCGGCGGGTAGAAGCACGTGTGTTGGTGGCGCAAGGGAAGTCGTTAGCAGGAAGCGTAGGTAGAAATGTATAGAATGAATTCACGGCATGCGCGCAAACTTCTTATGAGAAGCGTGTCGCTACAAGAAACCACATAACCACAGTTCGTAGTGCAAAGGCCACATTTGCAACCACAGGCATCTTCATGAACATCTCTAGCATTTCCGATCTTGGTAGACTACCAAAAACCAGCCCGCAAGAGTCATTTGAAATACACAGGGGTCCCCACAGACTACCCACACCGCCGTATGCATCTGTACAAGTACACGGAACCTATCCAAACCATATTTGCAATCTTCATTCCAAAGCGTGAAAGTGGACTTTTCTCATACGTGGCTGCGAACATGACCAGCGACCCATCGACATTGTAAGATTCTGCGCGTGCCTGGCGGTATGAAACATAGGCGTGACTCGTAGTATCGTGGGACTATGTTTCCCAGTCCGGCATTACGTCCCTGCTCACATAAAAGGCCCAACCTAGTTCTTAAGACCGACCTTGTTGAGCAAGCTACCTGTTCGTCCAGCAACCATGGCCTTGTTATCGAAGATCTTGAGCAGACTCTTCCATACCTGGCCTGGCTCTTGACTTGCGTCAATGGGCTTCCAGATACCCGTCTTTTGGTAGTAAGCAACAACGGGTGCGGTCTGAGCGTGGTAGGTTGAGAGGCGCTTCTTGAGCGTGTCCTCGTTGTCGTCGGAACGCTGGATGAGCGGCTCACCAGTTACGTCGTCGGTCATAGGGGCCTTGGGTGGGTTGAAGATCTTGTGGTAAGAGCGGCCGGATGCGGGGTGAACGAGGCGGCCCGTGATGCGCGAGACGAGGAGGCCATCGTCGATTTGCAGTTCAACGGCGTGTTGGAGGGGCTTCTTGGTCGCAGCAAGCATACCGTCAAGCTTCTCAGCCTGGGTCACTGTTCGTGGGAAGCCGTCGAGGATGAATCTGCGTAGAGTTCGTGTTAGCATGCCTTTCCGATATATGCAAAGGAAAGCGATCATAAGAGTACGTACCCCTTGGAACACTCTGCGTTGCCCTCGAGCTCAGTCTTGATCATGTTGATCATGATCTCGTCGCTAACCAGACCGCCAGCATCCATGATCTTCTTCGCTTCCCGACCGAGAGCTGTCTTCGCCGCGACTTGCGCGCGTAGCATGTCTCCGGTAGCCTACAATCTGTCAGCCCACCATTTCCAGCTTCCTATATAGCACCTTGGTGTCGTGCATGACGAAAAAAACGTACAAGATGGCATGCGCAGAACTTCTCCTTGATTCGCGGCGCTTGTGTGCCCTTGCCTAACTTGTGCGTAAGCAAAATGCCAGATTTTGACCCTCTTCAGCGGAATAACTCACCAGCACCCGGTGGTCCCATGAGAATCATCCTGACACTCTCCGCCGACGCTGGTTCACCCCCACTTTGGCCAGACAGCCTGTTCTCCAGCTCAGCGATGCGCTTCTCGAGCCTGTTAACGGTGCTCTTAAGGTCGTCGACCGCGGCATCTGTTATTGGTGCCATTGCGCTGATATGTGAGGAAAAGTGTGGGGGGGATGTAAAGGGCGATGAGAAGGACAAAAAGATGCGCGGACCGCTTGGAGTGGATAAGGGACGAGTGCGCAATGGCAGTGGACAGTCGCGTTGTGGATGAGGTGGAGCTCACGGTCGCTCGGTTTGTGCACGTCCCAGCTTGCTTCTGCGCTCGGCTGCCATGCGGGAAAATGCTCCCTTCTGCCCGATCCTCGGTCACGTTAGCTTTCGCAGGATGATGTCAGAGCAAAACGTTCCTGGGCGTAGGAAGCTAGGCGCATCATTAGCGGAATATTTACTGCTGTTGTTAGCAGCCGATATTGGTATACATCGTACGAGTCCGAAGATGGTATTGGGGGTCAATGCATCACAAGAACAGGCGGGGTCACAATGGCAGTTCCGCACGGCTGCGCGCATATCGTCTACATACTACATTGAAGGGAGATGGTATCATTGTATACGTTGTCCTCACTGGAGCCTTTCAAAATCCTAGTACTCATTTCCAAGCACCTTCTTCAGTCCCTTGATATCTGTCTCGTATTTCTCCACTTTGTTTTGACTCGTCATCAACTTCGTCAACAGATAGTTTATTCGTCCAGCTGTCTGCGCAGGCTGGTTCTTCAGCTTGCTCAGCAACAACAGCTCGTTCTCGCACTTGTCAATCGTCGCGTTCTCAATCTTTGTCAGATGCGTCAGGATAGCCAGGTCCAAGCGGCTCTTCAATACTTTGTCTTCAGTCAAGCGCTTGAAAGCAGGGTGGTAGACGGGCTTTCCTGGCTTGATGATAGATGGCCGGCCATTTGCGCCCGAGACAATGGAGATGAGCTCGGCCTGTTCGAGGGCACGAAGGACTGACTCGCCACCAGTCTTTAGTATGTCGTCGATGAGAACTTCGTTGTATCGTAGGCTTTCCTTCTGAGCGAGCTCTTTGATAAGGAACCAGGCTTGTTCAGCATTCCAGTGTCGGCTTCCGCCTTCATCTTCTGCGCCAAAGATGTACATTTTAAGAATCTCGGAAGCTGACTGGTCGATGATCTCGTGCACGGCCTTGGTAGGTGTCTCACCCGTCTTGATCCGCCGGGATAAGAATTCAAGATCCGTGAGGCGGCCGCCTAGCAGATCGATACAAGTGTCGAGCTCATCAAGGTCGTTGCGATGTTCAGAGGGTAGTTTCTTAGGCGAGCCGTCCTTTGGAGCAGGGTCGTCTTCGACATCGGCGTCAAGGTGCGTGATAACAAATCGCTTCGCTACCTCAGGGCTACAATCAGACAAAGAGATTTGACGGAACATACGGTCTGGCATGGCCTTGGAGAGTGATTTGCTGAAAGCGACGTCGTTGGTCAGGAAGATAACATGAGCTACGTTCGTCGTTGTAAGACGGGCAGCCCATTCAGCGATCTTGTCATAGACGATACCCCCTTCCTGGCTCTTGTGCAGGAAGTTGTCGATTACAACAATAGGCCTGCGTTCTGGGTGTGCTTCGAGCCACTCGTCGTCACCCAAGTGCGCATCTTTGTCGTTCTTGTGTCGTGTATCTAAAGCGATTTGTCGTAATGCCGAGGTAGTAGTATTCCAGATTTTGCTGAGTTGGGAGTCGAGGGTCTCGGAGAAGCCAGTCTTGACGCCTGTAGCACCCTGAGCAGCCATATCGATCATTCCGGAGATGCTGTTCATCCAACTGAATACAGGTCTATATCCAACAGATAATGCAGCGGCGTTGATAGTGGCGCTTTCGCCTCGAGCTTCCTGGATGGGTTTGCAGTCGATCACAAGCTTGAGTTTCTTATCCTCCAAGGCCTCATCAACGACAAGTTCGCGCTTGCCGGAACCCCGAGGACCCTGGACGATGATGAAGGTCTCGGCGGTCTCCATCAACCAAGTTCGGATTTGTTCAATGTCATCTTTCCTATCATCCCAAATGGCATCCATGCTGTCGTCATCGTCGCGCTTGTTACCACCGTGGATGATGTCTGTGGCATAACCCTTGATCCACTGGTACCACTTGTTGTCTTCAATGTGGAAGTTGCGAGTAATGTGGGCCTTGACGAAGAACGTTCGGATGCTATGTACCTGTCAATTGAAGTCATACACATGCACGGAAGACTTACGGGTCGAAGATGAGTGCGACGGTACCAGCGATGAGGGCAGCTACGATGGGGATGATAATCCTGGGATGGCCAAAGATCCAATCTCTGATATACCTAGGCTTGATCTTCTGTTCGTACTTGAGTCTTAATATCGTCCCTTTTTTGCCCCCTCCCTCAGCTTCCGAAACGAGATAGCCATGCATGCAGTTCCTGGCCATGATAGCCTTGCCAATGCTAGTGTAATCCAAGTATGCGAATTTTGGGAGAACCTTTGAATCCGGAGGCTGCATAACGATATCTCCTAGCTTACCGTAGGGCCGGAAGAACTGGAAGAGCTGCTCTTGGCTCATTTCGACGGCTTCAGAGGCTGGTACGCCCGCCTCGGCAGAGACGAACTCAACGCGCAGACGTGAGGCTGGGAGACGCATGAGATCTTCCACCCAAGGTTTTCCTTTGACTACCTTCGCACGCATCCTCTTCCATGGACTCCACCATGGCTTGACCGGCTCATCTCTTAGGTACTGTTGAAGCACTTTTTCGACCTCAGAAGTAGAAGCACTCCCATCGTGAGTGAACTTGACAAATGCTCCTCCCTCCCTCATTCGCGGAAGTACTTCGGTGCCAGTGATCTGCAGGTTGCGTTTCGCTTTCGCTCTCTCAATTACGGCTTTCGGGTCGGTGCCAGAGATACTCGGACTGATGAGGCGATCTAGTATTCCTGGCAAAGGGAGTCCTAGTACTTTGCGGATCTGAATGGGAAATACATTGTTAAAGAAGAGGATACCCTCGTTAGGTCCTGCGCTTATATGACCGGTTTTGTCTTCGCCAGCTTGTAGTCCAGTCACATAACGAGCGGGAACGGTCCATGGTCTTCTGGAACCCAGACTATTCGGTTTCAATGTCGCTATAAGTGTCGGGTGTATCTTCCTGATAACTTGTTAGTACACTTGCGATGATCGCCAACAAGGATCAAGTATCGTGAACGTGCCTTGTCGGCCCTTGTAGAGGGCGACGACAGGTCTGGTGCCAGCCGGTACGAGGTAACATCTTTACGACCTAGTTTTCACCGGGACATGGCGACATGTGAAGGATAACAAAGGTCAGTCGACTGCCCAGGTGATGTTCGCTGCCTAGGATACCGTTCAGGGCTAGCGAATCTGGAGTTTGAAGGTGCGTGACGTCATCAGACTTGAATCTTGGCTTTGTGCATCCGCGGCCTGGCAAGCGAAGCAAGCATCCCACTCTACATGATCAATTGCGAAACCTAGTGACCGCACTTATGTGTACTAATGAATATCGCAATCGATGCAGTTACCATCACACGATGTCAGTAATAACCACAAATGGTGGCTGGCTGATCACAGCATCAATGAGGCATAAATAGCACTGCAAGCATCACTGAAGCAGTCGTCTGATATAAATTTGAACATAACATTCGCATATATATACAAATTGGGTGCGAAATGAATAAACATGAAAGACATTGTACACTGCAGGTGCTGCCCAGCTGACTCCGCATACTGAAAAGGTATCGTGCAGGTAAACGAGGGAGAATGCGTGTACAAGAATCAGAACGCCAAAGAATCATGATATACCCGAAAAAACCTCTTTTGTCGTGACCATATTTTCCATGCACCTTTACTTCATACAGTAACAATCATAATCATAGACTCATCTAAGCGGCGACAGTCACCAGCTTCTCCATAGGAGCGGCGTTGTGCTTGTGCATAGCCTCGTAAGGTGGACGCTTGACGATACCACCAGTGACGGGCAGAGAAGTGCCGTAGCCGGTAAGGAAGGAGTCGACGTCGCGAGCGCACTGGCGACCCTCATTGATACCCCAGACAATGAGGGACTGTCCGCGACGGCAGTCACCAGCAGCGAAGACACCGGACAGGTTGGTGTTGTAGTGACCAGGAGGGGTCTTGATGTTCTTGCGGCCATCAAGCTCGATGACGTCGCTCATGACACGCTGCTCAGGGCCCAAGAAACCCATAGAAAGCAGGACGAGGTCGGCAGGGAAGAACTGCTCGCTACCTTCGACGTGCTTCATGTCCCAACCACCAGAGGCGGACTTGGTCCATTCAACACGGACAGTGTTGATACCCTTGACCTTGCCGCTGCCGTCATCGACGAAGTCTTTGGACATGACACAGTACTCACGAGGGTCCTTGCCCATGTGAGTCTTGACTTCGTTGTGGCCGTAGTCAGTTCGGAAGATGCGGGGCCACTGCGGCCATGGGTTGTCGCGAGCACGCTCCGCAGGGGGCTGGGGCAGCAGCTCGAAGTTGACGACAGACTTGGCACCGTGACGAACGGAAGTACCAATGCAGTCGTTACCAGTGTCACCACCTCCGATGACAACAACGTGCTTGTCCTTGGCCGAGATGTAAGCATCATCAGCCAATTCGGAGTCTAGGAGAGACTTGGTGTTCTTGTGCAAGAACTGCATGGCGTAGTGAATACCGTCCAGGTTGCGGTTAGGAATAGGCAGGTCACGAGCAACAGTAGCTCCAGTGGCGAAGACAACGGCGTCGTACTCCTTACGGAGAGCCTCGAGGTTGGTCTGGCCATCCTCGCCAACAGTAACACCAGTCTTGAAGTTGACACCCTCAGCAGCCATGAAGTCGACACGGCGCTGAACAACCTTCTTGTCAAGCTTCATGTTGGGGATACCGTACATGAGAAGACCACCGACACGGTCAGCACGCTCATAGACGGTAACGGTGTGGCCAGCTTTGTTGAGCTGATCAGCACAAGCAAGACCAGCAGGGCCGGAACCGATAATTGCAACAGTCTTGCCAGAACGGGTCTGGGGTGGAGTGGGAACCATCCAGCCCTTCTCGAAACCACGGTCAATGATGGCGCACTCAATCGACTTGATGCCGACGGGGTCCTCGTTGATGCCAAGAACACAGGCACCTTCGCAAGGAGCGGGGCAAACACGACCAGTGAATTCTGGGAAGTTGTTGGTCATAAGGAGGCGGTTGAGGGCGTCACGCCACTGGCCTTGGAAGACTACCAACATGTTAGCACGATGTATACTTCAGAGTAAGATATCGAACACTTACCCAACTCGTTCCACTTGGGAATAATGTTAGAAATTGGGCAGCCAGTGTCAGACTGGCAGAAAGGCACACCACAGTCCATGCAGCGAGCAGTCTGGTACTTGAGTTCGTCCTCGTTCAGACGCTGGTTGAGCTCGGCCCAGTCGCGTGTACGGGTCTTGGGGTTGCGGTACTTCTCAGAGCGACGCTGGTACTTCATGAAACCGCGGGTCTTATCAAGAACGAGCGCCTTCTTCTTCTCGGCCTTTGCGTCAGTAACGCTCTCTTCGATATCAAGGAGGTCGCTCTTCTTCTTCTCCTTTGCCTCGGCCTCAGCCTCCTTGTTGCGAGACTCCTCATGAACATTGCGGACAGCGTTGCCAGCAAGCAGAGGAAGAGGGTATTCGGACTTCTTCTTCTCGGCAGCCTTTGCCTTCTCCTCCAAGAGCACGCGCTTGTAGTCAACAGGCATGACCTTGACGAAGCGCGGTAGTGCGCGGGTGAAATCAAGGAGAATGCGTGCAGCAAGCTCGGAGCCGGTGTAGTGGTGGTGGTCCTCGATGAGGCCACGCACAAAGGCAATCTCCTCTGGTTCCTCGATACCAGAAAGCTCAACCATCTCCTGGTTGACCTTCTGCTCGAAGTCCTTGTGAATGTCAAGGACGTAGGCAATGCCACCGGACATACCGGCAGCAAAGTTACGTCCAGTAGAGCCGAGAACAAGGACACGACCACCAGTCATGTATTCGCAACCGTGGTCACCAACACCCTCAACGACCGCTGTAGCACCAGAGTTACGGACACAGAAGCGCTCGGCAGCGATACCGCGGAAGAAGCAAGTACCGCGAGTGGCACCGTACAAGCAGACGTTACCAATGAGGATGTTCTCCTCAGCACGGTATACGGCGTTGCGGGGAGGGTAGATGATCAGACGACCACCAGAGAGACCCTTACCGACGTAGTCGTTGGCATCACCCTCAAGTTCAAGTGTGACACCAGGTGCCAGGTAAGCACCGAAAGACTGGCCAGCAGAACCACGGATGTTGACATGGATGGTGTCTTGAGGCAGACCAGCCTCGCCGTAGCGCTTGCTGATGTGGTACGAGAGGGTAGCACCAAGAGCACGGTCGGTGTTGACGACATCGCACTCAATGCGGGCGGGGAGACCCTTCTCAAGAGCAAGCTCGGACTCAGCGACGAGCTTGTTGTCGAGACGGACGTGGAGACGATGGTCTTGCTTGCGGACGTTGAATGTGGCCACACCTGGGCGAAGGGTATGCGCAGGAGTCAGGATGAGAGACAAATCAATGTTCTCAGTCTTCGCAGTGCGGAGATCGTCGCGGATGCGTAGCACCTCGCAGTGACCAACCATGTCGTTGATGGTTCGGAAACCAAGCTTGGCCATGATTGCACGGAGCTCGTTGGCGATGTAGTAGAAGAAGTTGATAACGTGCTCGGGTGTACCGGCGAACTTCTTTCGGAGCTCAGGGTCCTGGGTGGCGATACCGACAGGGCAGGTGTTCAGATGGCACTGGTCATGGTCAGTTGATACTCTTAATCATAGGCGAGAGGGTTGGTAAGTACCTTGCGCATCATAATGCAGCCCATGGCGATAAGAGGTGTGGTAGCAAAGCCCCACTCCTCGGCTCCAAGCAGACAGGCGATAGCGACATCGCGTCCAGTCCTCAATTGACCATCAGTCTGGACAATGACACGACCACGGAGGTCGTTGAGGACAAGAGTCTGGTGAGTCTCGGCAAGACCCAGCTCCCAAGGAAGACCGGCATACTTGATACCAGTCCATCGAGAGGCACCGGTACCACCATCGTGACCGGAGATGAGAATGTGATCAGCCTTGGCCTTGGCGACACCAGAAGCGACGATACCAACACCAGTCTCGGACACGAGCTTGACAGAAACACGAGCACGGGGGTTGGAGCACTTAAGATCGTAGATCAATTGCTTGAGATCCTCAATGGAGTAGATGTCATGATGGGGAGGAGGACTGATGAGACCGACACCAGGAGTGGAGTGACGGGTCTTAGCGATTGAGCCAGAGACCTTGTGGCCAGGAAGCTCACCACCCTCACCAGGCTTAGCACCTTGGGCCATCTTGATCTGAAGCTCGTCGGCATCGGCGAGGTAGTTGGAGGTGACACCGAAACGTCCAGAGGCGATCTGCTTGATGGCGGAGCGCATGGTGTCACCGTTCTCCATGCGCAAGCTGCGCTCAGGGTCCTCACCACCTTCTCCAGTGTTGGACTTGCCTCCAAGACGGTTCATGGCGACGGCGAGGGTAGAGTGGGACTCCATGGAGATGGATCCGTAGGACATGGCACCAGTAACGAAGCGGCGCACGATGTCGGTCCAAGGCTCGACCTGATCAATGGGGATAGGTGCACGGTCATCAAAGTTGAAGTCAAGGAGACCACGAAGGGTGCAGTCCTTGATGCGCTCGTACTCAGCGATCGAGTAGGCCTCGTATGACTTGTCGTTCTTTGTGCGGACCGCGTCCTGGATGTTGGCCATGGCAGTTGGGTCGTTGACGTGAGGCTCGCCTCCGTCACGCCAATGGTACTCACCAGTCTCAGCAAGACCGGGTACCTCAACGATGGCGCGAGATGGGTAACCCCTCTCGTGGAGAGCGAAAGCGTCAGATGCGATCAACTCGAAGGTCATACCCTTGATACGAGAGGCAGTTCCAGTGAAGCATCGGTCAACGACGGAGTCATCAAGACCAAGGACTTCGAAAATCTGAGCGCCCTTGTAGGATGAAAGAGTAGAGATACCCATCTTACTCATGACCTTCAAGATACCACCATCGCAAGAGTGCCTGTAGTTGTCGATAAGCTGCTCGGGGCTGAGCTTCTTGCGAATGACGCCCTCACGGTGCATCTTCAGGATACACTCAATGGCAAGGTACGGGCAGACAGCATCAGCACCGTATCCAACCAAGACACACATGTGGTGGACCTCACGGGCCTCACCAGTCTCGACCACGAGAGCGGCGTTGGATCGCCACTTGTTG